TGAGGGGAATGCCTCAAGAAAATAGTTAACCATTTAAGGAAATGTACTGTACTGTAATTTCACTGAACTTTACTCAACAACACTACAGTTGAGCCAGTGTAACCAGGACAGCACAACAAAACATTCAGTGCCATTCAGCTGCTGGGGTTCATTTGACCTCAGAATTTGCTCTACTCGCTAAGAATTTAAAGTGCTGTATAAAATTATTCACAAGAGAACACTTATCAAGTAACTGTCCCATTAGCGACCAAATTAAGGTAATACGTCTATTTATGGGTATTAGTTTTAAAGGTAATTTCGTTTTCCCTTTTCTGTAGTTTTCAGCCAAAAAAATAGCAATAAAAACGAAATGATAAGGGGAGTAAACAGACTAGTTATTTTTCAGTCAACATTTATTTAAAAAACACAGGTCACACCTCGGCCCTTGCAGTGTGTACATTTTTCAGAAGTCGTATGTTATCTTGGTTAAAAAGACCAATAAATCTGCCATATTAACTTCCCAGTGGAGATAGTGAGACACAATGGTCGTACACCATTGAATCTGGACCTTCACTGATTATTTACTCTTGTAAAGGCTGCAGCTGTGCTGCAAATGCTGCTCCAAGAGCATTTTTGTGCACATCTGAATCAAAGAGTATATCTGATGTTTCCAAGAATGATGACAAATGGATTACAGAAAGAATTCGAAAAGAATTTTGTGTATTTACAAGCAACTTGATTAATACAAGATGCAAAGGAAGAAATCCCCTCAACATGTTTGTGTCCCTTTGTCTTTGACTCACGCGAGATCCCTTTGACATGCAGCTGTGCTCAGTGTCTGATGTCTTTGTTGACACGCTCTAACTATCACTGTGAGCCCCCCATGGGATGTATATGATATCTGAAAAATTTGGCTTGTCACTGCTCACTTGGCTGAAAACACTGGAAAATAAAGCAGAAATAAGTATGTGAGAGTAAAAGCAGATGGATTTAATCAGAATTTTAAATGACACTTTCCAATAAAGTACTTCACAGCTGCCTTGGAGGACCAAACTGGTATTAAAACAGTTACTGTAAGAACAACAGAGCAGAACACTGCAAAGAAGGGCCTTTCCACATCTATGATTTTGAATGGACTGAACAAATATAAGAATGTTGATTTTCATATCACACTTCCCGCCTTCAACAGCTTCTTCATGTTCACAAAGATCCTTTCCCTCATTAGCCCGCCGTGGCCACAACAACAAAGCACGTGAGAACACCATCATCCCTCTTTAAATACACCACCCTGCAAAAGTCGATCAGATATTTTGCGAACATCATTCCAACTTTTTGTGGGATCCGTAGGAGGATCAAAACGTTTCCTGGCCTTGAACCAGTGATCAGCACAGCTGTGCTCTGCATGGGACGCTTCCTGCAACAGAGGGCAGAGCTGCAAACAGGTTGGAGGACTTTTAAAGACTGGCCTGCTTTCAAAATAGACAATCTCTGCATGAGGCCATGGCCAACAAGAGTCTGCAGCCATCTTATGTGTTAGTTATTTGTTGCTTGTATCTACTGAGATGCTTTGAACAAAGTGGAGGGAGCAGTTCAATGAGCTTTTCTTTGGCAAAAACAACGTTTAAGTATTTCTAACATGAAATGAATGTGGCAATTGTTGTGCAAAGGAATGCAAGTTATCAAAGCTAGGGGCTCATTTAGGCAGCAGAAGTATCAAAGGCTGATCATGTAAACTATAATTGTGAAAGTCCTGAAGGAAATGTGTAAATCCTGAAATCGTGCATTACTCGAGTGAAGTTGCCCTGCAGCTAAATGCCACTGCATATGGTGAAACTCATGTCCTCATGGTGGCGCTGTATGCAAAGGCCCTGTAAAAGTCCGTATTCATTGAAATCTACCCAGTAACAAGCAGAACAATTCAGAGTAGCGCAGGTGAAGAAAGTTATGCAATAACTCTTTCAGAATCATTGGCAATTTGATACACAATATGCAGTTTTTAAAAGGATACACTGGAATAAACTGTCTATAAAACACACTGCATAGTTCCTTGTAGGGATATTTTTGTGACGGGTAATGGAGCAAACGGGGACACGTTTTTTTAAGGAAAATAATTCAGGACCAGTGCTTCTTTTTTACAAGGTCAGCTGGAGAACTGCTGGCCCAAAAGGGAGCGCTGCTCCCGTGTTGCTTTTGGCATCTGAGTCAGTGGAAACCTGCTGTCAGTGCGCTGCCGGAATATTTGCCCTTTGAGGAGTGAGCTCCCCTTCAAGTTCAAAAAGACTACTTCATTCCTTCCTCAGGTTTTAGTTGGCAAGATGAGAATAAAAGCCATTCCATCCTAATAGGTGACTTTGTTGTTCTTAGTTTATTCCCTTATAAACAAACAGAAATGCAAGGCAATAGTTTGATTTTATATAATCCGCAAAGACATCAAAAATAATAAATAATTCAGTTACAAAGCACAAGCTGGAGACTAAGGGTGTAGAATAAAAGATTTTTTTTTTTTTTAAATCTGTTCAGTGAAGGTAACATCTTCGGCTGCCTTCAAAATGTCTTATTGATCAGGATGTTCCATCATGTGGTTTTATTTTTTAACCTCACAATCTACATAATGTATCTCCTTAATCAGATGGTGCAAAATCACATAATAAGTGTCGGTAAACCGTGAAATGTAAGTGTGCACTTACCTTGAGAAAGAGCTGCATGTGGGAGATTTGCATTATGATCTGGAGATAATCCATGCTCGTCATTTGAGGCAAGTTGTGCATTATACGCAACGTGTTCATTCTTATTTTGACCTAAGTGGACAAATGTCTATATCTTGTTTTTTTCTTTTGAAAGTACGTGCGTTTTCCTAAATGGTTTCTTCCAAAAACCCAGTTAAGTCTGTGGAACAACCAAGAACAACCAGCATACCAATGAGAGGAAATGGATAATTTTGTAATAATCTTTTCAAATCAGGATCAGGTGAAAGTCTGTGGATTTGCATTGTGATGCACTTAACTTGTTCAGATTCTCAATGCTGTAGCCATAAAAGTAGACAGTGTAATGTTTCCCTTTTACTTTCAGGTATATTGCAGATAAAATATAGATAATATAATCTGAGTCTGGGTTTTTAAAAATGTGTAAATTACATCAGACTGAGATATCTGAGGCACACATCTATCACACAACTATCTTTGTACTTTTTCTTCTGCTTAGTGAATGGCTGCTGACGCTATGCTAAGGGATTTTTGATATCATTGGACAGACCTTTGGCTCTTTGTGCCAAACTAAGTTACAGCTGCTTTTTCGCTTTAACTAATCTTGACAAGACATCGTGAGCTGTCTGTCCTTCTTATTCAATTAGAACAACTTGTATCCATATTTGAATTCTCTTGTCAGAGAGATTTTTTATAATAGTGTTCTGTGTGTCTCTATTCATAATGATTAATGTTCCATACAACTGGTTAGGGTATGAGCAGATCCATGATCAGTGAGGAAACCTTTCCTCTTGCTCATGGTCTCCACGGCATGTGATCTTCACTATTTAGCCGTCCCACACATTCTTATGCTCACATTTTTATTGAACTCCTGAATGTCCATTTTCAATCTTCAGTCACTTACTATTATATTTCAGTTCAACGCTCCACTCCACCCTTATTGCACACGCTCAACTCTCTGATGGTGTTAAAAGCTCAGAAAATACTGTGGTTTAGAACATAAAATATCAATTGTCTAACAAAGGTGCAAGACATTTTCTCAACATTCTCTACAATTTTCATCCGCAGCTCTGCAGTAAATCAGAAATTGATGTGGTAAGTTTTGCTTCCTTTGATCCTCAGTCTGTTTTTTGTCATGCCAAAGCTGGTAGTTTACAGCTGATAGGAATCTGCTTAACCACACTGGCCGAGTGCAAGGCATCTGTGGAGGTCTGGGAGCCGCTGCATTTCTATTATAACACATCACTGCTTTCTTTGAAATTAGGCATTTAAACATTTGATTACATGATATCCATGTCCAATCATGCCGTTCAGACATTATTGTTTATTATCATTTATTGACAAGATGTTAGAGCATAGAGCTCCTCTTACTGACAGCTATTTAAAAAGGTTTATCAAACTCATTAGAGGCTAAATAGATGATTTCCATTTCCAGTCATTGTGCAAATCTAAACTAAGTCTATGCCCTTCATCTTAATGTCCCATATTTTTAGGATTGTTTTTTCACAGTCTCTTTTGTCGTTAGATACAACAACTATATGTTTCCAGGGTTTTATATTCAATAATCCAAAGGTGTCATTTTTCTAAATACAAGAAACCTATTTTTCCTATGTGCAATATTTCCACAATCCAGGCTTCTGAGTTCAATGAGGCCTATGTTACTGGGGTCCCGTTATAAGGGTTCCACGTTTCTTAGCAGTTTTAACTTCAAAGAACCATTATACGTAAAATCCAAAACGTCCTACGTTTCCCAGGATTCTTAATTCTAAGACTCTCTTTCGAGATCCTTGGTTTCAAGACTGTATGGTCCAGTAATCTCTAGATGCTGTTGTCTGGTTTCTAAGCTTCAGTCTTGTCCTCCCAGGTTGCTACGTCTCAGATGCCAAACTTGCAAAAGTTCCATACTTCCAAGGGTCCTTTTCTATGCACAGGGTCTTCCCGAAAACCTGTGTTCCAAGAATTTTTTTTTTCCTTTATCCTAAGTTCCAGTAGGCCTGTATATGTTATAGGTGTCCTGTGTTCTCAAAGACTACGTTGAGAGAGTTCCTGGTCCCAAGAGTCCTAACTTTCCGTGGTCCGGTGTTCATATGGTTCCACATTTCCATTTCCTCTTATCTCCGCAGTGTGATGGGTGGCTGTTACATTCTCCAGCTTCTTTATTCTCAGGGTTCCCATGTTCATCATTTCAAAATTCTGCTCACAGATGGGGATTTTTCGGTTGTATGGAGTCCAGTTTTTACCACTATATGATAGGCATTGGAAAGTTATTATCATGCATTATGGGAAGTGATTTAAAACAGCTACAGAAACACAAGAAAGCAGGCTGTTATCATTTTATTCTGCTTTTGGATGCTTGAAAATAATAATTACCTCTTTGGCGGTTTGGATCAAAACTGACTCTAGGAGCTTTTTACTCACTCCAACAGATTACAGATGATTATGAGTTTAACATTTATCTTATCTAACCCCTGTTCATGTTCATATAAATAACAAAGTTTTCCATCATTGTTGAATTTTTTTTCTAGGTAACTATTGAGGATAGACCAGAATTTGCTGAAATCTCTAGAAACCGCAGACTCTCAACATGTTCACCACAAAGTGAATACAGATGCATAGTTGTCAACCAAGTCAAAGAAAATCAGTGGATGGAAAACAGAAAAAAGATACAGTACTAATGGTATCCAGTATCATTGTGTATAGTTTTTCATTACATTAGAGAGGGAGATAATTGAAACAATAACTAGCTGTAGTGGGGAAACGGGGCACTCATGGCCTCGGCATTGCCTTTTATAATTTCATGGAGTGACATTAAAGCAGTGTGTCTAATGTGAAGTCATGACCAGCATAGAGTCTAAAACAGGGGATCGCCTATTCAAGACAAATATGTCTCACTACACAGTGTTAAGTAGAGAAAGGCAGGTTTAATAGAATAAGATCTGAGGAATAAAAAACTATAACATTAGCTCTGTGAGCACAGCTGTGTGTTTGTTGTATTCCTTTCCTTATTACAGTATATTCCCATGTAAGCAATGTGCATGTTAAGATCTTTCACATCATAGCCTAGCTTCCTTTGTGAGTCACACATAGCAGCTGCCCCTGCACAGCACTCACTACTTTTACCATACTCCAGTGAAATTCAAATGAAACCCTTGAGTTGTACTCCAGAGTGCTTCATGGTCTGTGTGTGCATATTATGAACCAAGGCAAAAAGATAAAAGAGGCTTTCTGAGAGGTTTTTCCAGGCCTCCATGTTGTAGTGATCTTGATTTTGATAGCCACAGCCATTATCTGGGGCATTTTTGCAAAACTAGTCAAATATGCTTTGCATTCAGCCCAATAAACTGTTGTTCATGACCTCATACGGCTCTAATTTCACCATTAGATATGCTTAATGGGTGGAAATCTTTCTGCAATAGTGGTGCTGACCCAAATACATTTGCATTGTTTCCTCAGGGATGTCTGAACAAAATCACTACAACCTGATAGGAAGAAAGCCAAATGGTTGCATGTCTGCAAAGCAGTTCACATGTTGAAGACGTTTGTTTTAAACTCCATTAATCTCTTATGTTTTTTGCCCTGACATGAACTGACTTTCTAGGCAGCTCAAAATAACTTTGGCTGTCAACATAAATAAATGTTTGAACTTCAAAGCATATCTTTCAGATTCTAATAATGAGAAACATAGGTTATGTTTTTCATGTCAAATTAAATTGTCTTTGCAAATTCAGAATCTGTTAGAATTAAAGATCTTTTTTATACATTTTTCACCAGATGTCACAATGTGCGGTGCAGATTGCAGTTTAGTTAATCAGACGAGAGAGTGAATTTAAATCAAAAACATGAGCTACATTTTCAGTAGTTTTATTGAAAAATGCCTCTTCCGTTTCAGAAATAAATAAGAAAATAAGGCTGTGGGGAATTCACAAAATGTGCAGTTAAAACATGAGAAAAGCAATCCTATGTCCATAGTCTTGCAACCAAATCTAAACTGCATTGATAGAACAACAACTATATTCTGACCTCAGTAAATATACAGCACAATCATGCAATTTTTTGGCAACAAGACAAAAGAAATACAAATTTGGTTTGTCACAATAGGCTAGATTATCATTTGGTTTACAGGCAGCACAAAACATTACAATAAAGAAATCTTTGGCGATAAATTGTTTGCTTTTAACCAACAAAGGAACAAAAATTGTTTAACAATTGAAAATTTTACCAAAAAATAAACCCGGTTACTTTGTTAGTGCTACAGAGGACACACATTGTACTAGTTTGCACATACCTTCTGCTGTTTTTTTGCATGATTAGTGCTTTACTCACTGGAGCCTGATACACACTTGCAGTTATATTACAAGCAGACACTGAAGGGAAACACTTAGCAAGCACACAGGTTTGTAACATGAAGATTTTCTATTCATCTTGCTAAATTTTCTCATTTCAAAAAAATATATGTTCAATATAGCCAGGGGTATCAAACCCATATAAGTATTAGTTTTGAGTATCACTTCATTCACTCTTAATTTCGGAAATGTATTTCAATAGTTTCCGCTTTGTAGCTATGATGTTAGTCTTCCTGTATTGTCTTGTGGTAGTGATCTCTTTCCCCGTTGGTCTCCTGTGTAACCAGGTGATTGTATTGTTTCAAACTCTTCAGCTGGCTCCACAGGTATTGACACTACCTCAGGTTCTGGCTGGTAGCGGGTGGCTAGAAAAATATTTGGCCAATCAAAAAAACAGGTTGCATCTACAACTTATCCATGCACAATTTATATATAGAACAACGTGGACTTTAAAAAGAAATGCCCTGTGTCAACTTGTTGCCTCCTAAAGTACCATAAGATCTAAAAGAAAATGAAAAAACTGTTCCCAACGCTGCTATGACATTAACAATAAAAACCAATAAAGTTATTTGATTATAAGCTGTAGTAAAATGACCAGCTGATACTACACATAGAAATGGAACAAGAGCAAATTCTAGCCCTGATTTGGCCAATGTACATAAAATTAATAGCATTACAAAAACAAATGAAACATGCTTTAGTGTGGACCAGAGCTGTATAAGTCACTTAGACATCATAAACAGAGGTTATGCTGGTGGTAAGTAAGCAGTGGGTTATGAGGCACAAGCTCAATAAAGATGTTAACATGATTTTTAGTCAAACGTCCTGATTCATACAGTCATTTACAAGGCAAAAAAATTAGTTTTATTTACAAATATCACCTCAACGTTAAACTTATTATTATCCTCTTTGTTAGTAGTTGGGTTGGCTGGTATTTGTACATGCTGCTTCCTTCGTAGAAATGCTCAGTCTCTGCTTATTTCTTATCTTTTTATATCCCAACGGTCTGTGGTTCAAGATGCAAACAGGCCAGCAGGTTGCCATCACTGTAGCTTGTAGCTGTGAGATGATGTTAGTGCCAGTCCGCTCCGCTCTGTTTTGTTTTGTTTTGTTTTTTGGCTTTCGCAACATTTGTTTTAATGTTCAGCAATTATGTCCTCGGTGATTATCCTTACAAGCCCCATAGCAAATGGGCAAACATCTCAGAAACAGGACCTCAGAGTGCAAGTGGCACAGACGACTTAGAAAGTTTATGCCAAACCTGAAAATAGTTCAAAGAAGGTGTGAGTATTTTCTCTGTGGAACAAAGTTATTAGCATATTATTTGATATCATATTAAGGCTTAATTTTCTTTAAGCTGGAATGCTGTACATGCCAGGCTCTTAACTGCACATCAAATGTATGAAGATATTAAAATATAGTTGTTCAGAAAGACTTAACCGTTCCCCCTTTATCCGCTTCCAGAAGTAGTACACATGGGATTGCCTTGTTTTAGTCTCCCCAAAAACAAATAAATGTGCATGAGGTGTAAAGATTGGATCAAATGAGCTGTTGATCTAGACTTATGTAAGATGACTATAATAGCAGCGAGTGGTGTACTGGTGAATTACTGCCAAGGCTGAGGAGGATCTAATACAGTCCGGGACAGAAAACCAATAAGTTTGAAAAAGTAGTCACAGGTTGCTCTTTATACCGCTAAGTGTTAGCTTGGTAATATTCCAAAGCAACTTTATTATGGATTTCTGGCTGGAAGATTCTTTTTCACCACAATCACTGCTCAACTATTGTGTACCATTTGTTTAAAAAAAAACTTTTAATACCCAATTTTTTTGTTTTTCTTAATGTTGTGTTCTGACTAAGAACGTAACAGCTAGGCAGGCACCCAAGAGGATATGGTATTAGTTAAAATGGCCCTTTCAGACTCAAGGCAAAGTCTGATCATCCACATTCATATCTCCATACATTATCATTAAAGTAGTGCTATGAGTTGCAAATTTAATTAGTGTGCATACAATTAGCCTTTTCCTTAATGTAAACACATGCAAGACTTAGTATTGGGTGTACCTGTGTATCCTTGTCCGTTGTAAGGGATGCCAACACACTGAGAGGAGTCACAGTATCCAGGGGGTCCTGGTGGTCCTCTCACACCTGGAATACCTTGACGACCTGGAGGGCCACGAGGCCCAGAGGAACCACTGGGACCTGGGGGACCTGTTCTCGACTCTCCTGATGGTCCTGCAAATGAGAGTGAGGCACTTTTGAAAGGAAAGTCTCAGGGGCTCAGCACAGAACACACTGACATCACCTATGAACCTTCAGTGGAAAAGTGGGGGGGGTGGAGGGGAGTTATACAAAGCAGCAGTGCTCTAACTTACCATTTTTGATGACTAAATTAAACAGTAGATGAAAAAAAACTAGATGCAGTCTGGGGCTGCGTGGAGTTACCCCCGGCCCCGTCTGTCTAGACAGCACAAACTCAGGATGGAATTTTCCCCCTTCTTTTTTACTCCCTTAAGTGAGCCCATGTGTTGTCAATGAAGCCACCAAAGAAAGCTCATTGTACAACAATTTGATTTTCCCACACACACATTCTGAAGTGAGTCATCCACATGGACTTCCTCCCACTGGTCTTTGGTTGTTTCTCACTTCATTCAGAAACAGACTTGTCAGTGTCTGGTGTTGAGAGATAGACCTCAGATAGGAAGTTCATGTTGCTTTACAATCAGTCCCAAAGAAAACTAAATCTTCTAAAACACTTTAAAAAGAAAAGATATTGTATCAATGGTAGCACTTTCAGCAACTGTTCTTGAGCAACACTGGGTGTCTTCACTGTTTTAGAAAAATATACTGTTTAATGATTAACATCAATACCTACCATTAACCACAACATATTTCAAATGTGTTCAGAGAAGAAGCATGATATACACATGACATAAATCCATGGAAAGGAAAGAACCTGAAAGAGGTCTGGGGTCACTCCAAAGAATTTATGCCGTGCAGCTGCCCAAATGAAGGCGTCTAAGACACAAATACTGCAGGTAAATTAAAGCCCCTGCCTGGAATGTGTCATTCTTAATTGGGCTCATGGGAGTACTCAAGTGTCCCAGAAAGTTCCACAAAATCTGGCAAAACTGTGCTTTAAAGTTTTTGGGGGGTTTTTTTGGAGAGGACTGAGCAGTGGAAGTATAGCTGGGTGTCCCCAACCGCTAGAAGACATTATTCTAGTTTTTTGGTTTATTATGGTTGAAGTTTTAATTTAAATGGACTTTCTCTTTCAGGAATAAGTAAAAAAAGATTAACTGTGTTACCTGGTGGTCCAGCTGGGCCTCTTTGTCCTCTGATACCATTTCCTGGAGAGCCTCTCTCTCCCTTCTCTCCTGCCAAACCTGCATAGCCAGAAAAAAATCTAAATATGAACCTGGAACAGTAACATGGCTGCAAAGGTCAAATGGACCTGCACTCCAGGATATCATGGGAATTCTAACCATGTACCTGCCCATCATACATATCCGATCTTCCATAGAGAAAGGAGAAAAAACAAAGAGAAAATTAAGAGAAAAAACACCTCTTTCTCCTTGATTTCCAGGTAATCCAGGATTTCCAGGGAAACCTGGTCTGCCAGTTTGTCCAGGTTCTCCACGGGATCCCTGGTTGCCAGGGGGACCAGGGGGACCGGGAGGCCCTGGAGAGTTGCTACGATATCCAGAAGGAATCTGGTTGAGCAGCACGTCAATTCTGCTCATCTGACCTGCAAACCAAATGAGATGGATATCAATCAGATCTACCTTTAGGGACAATAAGATTCCAACTCTTTAAAGGATGTTTCGCTTACTGTTCACAAGCTGTTCACAAACTTGTCTGGCAATGGAGCGCATCATGTTCTGGGATGCAAAATCTCCCTGGTAATCAAAGAAAGAGACATTAGGAAGTGTTGCTTTTCTTATATATGATATGAGTAAACCTTTTATAAGAACATAATACATACCCTCTCTCCTTTTTCTCCTTTAATGCCAACAGGTCCCTTTTGAGAAGATGAATAATGTTAATACAAGCTTAGACCTTGTTATTGCCTAAACACGGTCAGGGTAATTTATCTGTGCCTCATTTTCAATACTTACTGGGTTCCCTGTATCTCCTGGTTTCCCTGGTTTTCCAGTTATTCCAGGCACACCTGGATTTCCAGGGTTTCCCTGAAAAAATGAAAGCATCCCCAGAAACGCGGTGTTTATTTAATTACTGCTCAGTAAATGTAATTGTAATGTTTAACTCCTGCTCCCAGTTAATGGTTGCATAACAAGCGTTTGGTTGGAATCTATGCTTTGACATCTGCAGTGGTAAAGGGGGCGCCAGCTGCCAAGAGCTCTAAAGAGGAGATGGAAACAATCACATGCACAGAAGCAGTACAGACAGGATGCATGCACCCACACACACACACACACAGGCACACACACACACACACACGAGCCACCAGGCACCGCTAACCCCTCTGCTCATGGAGCACTCAGGATGGTATGGACCGTGTGCATTCAGTTCTGGCATATTGCCTGTTGACATGGTGGCTGGATAAGTAGAGTCAGACCTCCACAAACCACATAAAATGAAAATAAGATGCATGCACCATCCTTTCAGCAGTGGGGGGACCCTGAAGACTACAGTCTGTTTTTTATGTGCTGTTCCAGCAGAATGAAACTGTGGAGCCAGAAGAGTAATTGTTGCAAATATTTCAAGAAGTAAAACACACTCTGTGCAATATTGTTCTGGCTCTCGTAGACACTCACCATGGGCCCTTGTGGGCCTCTGGGTCCAGACGAGCCCTCCTTTCCTGGTGGCCCCTAAGAAGAAAAAACACCCTGTCACACATAGGTTACAACTCCCGCAGGACTCTATTTGTGCAATACATCAGTGTCATTACTTAATATTGCTTTCAGCCATAACTGTCTAATTTGAAATTCTGCAGCAGCTCCACGATTGAAGCTGACACAAGTGAGAATAAAGCATAAAATTATAAGCGTGGGCTCAAGAAACAGCTGGCGCAGATTTAGGCATTATAAAAGAGTATGTAAACTATACAAGCCTGTAGGGAGATCTTACCCGTGCTCCGCTCGGTCCAACAGGGCCCAGAGGACCGCGTGGCCCAGGAGGACCCTGGGAAAAAAGCAGAGACACTTAATCAAATGCTAATGATCGAGAACTGGGCATTTATTATAGCTCCACTGCCTCTGTTGACTTCAAATATCCAGAAAAAATGCGTCAATGTCCCATTAACTCAGCCAAAGATAATACATTATTTTGCTTGTAAAACTGGAAAAGGTCTCTGGAGTCTTGACATACAATATTCTCAATATTAGAACATAATTGGTGCTGTAATAAACTGTGCTTCATAAAATGTCTAACATAATGTTGCCAAGATGCCGCGAATATCACAGAATGGCTTTCTCATATCATCAAATCAAATCCGGTCACCAGAAGAACCAGTGGTGATATTCCCTTCAGCTCAATGATAGAATTCACTTTAACGACCACAGACAGCTTTGCAACATCAGCCAATTAGAAATTACCCTGCCATCAAACCATTCCCACACATTGTAAAATGGCTTTAACTTGACTTCAGATCTGCTTTTGGCATTAATATTTATAACGTGCAGAGCCTAAAAGTGCTTTGAGGTTCTTTAGGACTTTGGTAAAAGAAAATGTGGTTTTAGCTCCCCTTTTCATCCACAAAAGTTCCCAGAACGATTTCTACTGGAAGTCAAAGATGCTATAACTTCAAGCAGATTGTAAGTCATTTTTAAAGCACAATCATCCACGATGAGAAGACTGCAGAACATGTTCCATTCCCCATTTCCCCTTCAGTAACATGAGTCTATGATTCATAATAATTTAACTGCATTGCTGGCCTTCCACCGTTTGTCAATCAACAGGCTGATTTGGGAGTGTGGGTCTCCCTAAGGATGGCATGGTAAACCTCCCACTCTGAGTGTGGTTTCAATCTGGCCATGTGGACTGAATCCAGGCTGCAGGAGTAACGCTGTGTGGATATTCTCCTGTTTCCTGCTCATAAACCACAAATGAGAAAGTAGTACTTACTTGCATGCCAGGCAGGCCTGGATCTCCAGCGTCGCCCTTTGGTCCTTGGCGACCCTGAGGGAGAAGAAAAGAAAGAAAAAAGAAAACTTCACAGTTGGCTTTGGTCTTTTGTTCAACGCTTTAAGTCTATGGTTGTGATTTATGACAAATTGGACCGAAAAAACATGAAAAATTAAAACAAACAAAAAACGTTTAAATAATCTGGCTCGGTGGCTCCAAGTACAGGGGAGCCTTGTGTGTTATGACGCTAGAAAAAACTCCCACTCACTGATGGATGGACACCAGAAATGGTATCAGACATTCTACATCATTCGTCCAAACACAAAACACATACAAAAACAAGGATTTTTCTGCATTGAAGATAACTTACAGGTTCTCCAGGTAAAGACAGTCCGTTAGGGCCTTGTGGACCTGGTGGTCCCATTGCGCCTGGGAGTCCTTGCTCACCACGTGGACCCATAGCACCCTACAACAAAACAAAAACAGTGGCAATGGAAATGTTGTTCATGTAGCACATTTTAGTACAGGTTAACTCAATGTAGTGAACAAAGAAATCCGAAACTATGAGAAAGCAAGCTATGTATATAGAAACAATAAGGTGTTGCAAAGTTTACATTAGAGATAGAGTTTTGTCAGATTATTCTTTTGGGTATCTGACGTGGGCCTCCTTTATATATGGTTGTGGAACAATGTACAGCCATTAACTGAATTCAGATGTGCACTCATAGTTAGCAGAGAGCGCGAGCAGCTGTAATATCAAAATTCTAAAAAAGCTGTCAGTTAATTATTATTGATAATGTTTGTGCACATTAAACAGATTGAATTAAAATTGAACTTGAATGCCAAATCTAAAAAAAAACATAATAAGTTAGCGTGAGTTTTTAATTTATGTTGGTTTTAACTCACAGCGGGACCAGAATCGCCCCTGTCTCCGCGAGGTCCTTTAGAACCTGGACTACCCTGGAAAAGAGAGGAGCCAGAAACATAGAGTGAGCATAACAACAGGAACAGTTTCCAAAAGCCCTAAAACCCTGAAATCCCCACAGGGACCTAGTGAGGTTCCTCTGCACAAATATTCAGACTTCTCTTCTTGATTTCTGACAGGCATTAGAGTTTTGACACTTCTCACTGATTCCACATTTTTTTTCTTGCTATTGGTCTCTTCCTCCACTTTTTGCTGAATTGAGTGGAAAAAAATTATCTTCTCATGTGGGGGACATCCCCCGCCTCTTCAAGGTTAAACGACACAGAAAGAATTAAGCTGTGTGGTCACTGCAAATCTAGTAGAGTACAAAATGGCTTTTACATCATCATAAACATCTAATACCTCTGAGAGAACAATTTTGTGAAGACAGACAAAAAGCATGGATAGTGTGTCTTTACCGAAGGTCCAGGAGGCCCCTGGGGGCCAATGCTGTCTTGTGTGCATGTGCAAGAATGGGGAAGGGAGGGACACTTGGCTTCATCTCTCTGAGAACGAAAAAAGAGGATACAGAGAAATGAATTTGCATGCACTCTTAGGTATTATTGCAGTCCATCTCACACTGACTGAGAATTGAGAACATGAGTTGGCAATGTGAAGTGATTTACGACTTTATCCTGGCAAACTAGCACTTTTACTTCGCAAGGAGCTTTAAAAAGAAAAGACTATCTCAAGCCCAGAAAAAGGTTTCGCCGGAACAGTGTGACTGGAACTGATAGGGTTAGTGTGCGGTCACTGTTACATAACATCGCAGAGATTAATGTCATATATTAATATCTGAAGCAAATTGCTCGTGAATGACTTGAAATTGCATAAATGCGCAGGCATCCGGTCTTTACAGTGTAACAGGAAAATGAATGTGATTTACTGTCTATTCATTATCCAAAGAAGGACTTGTTTTTCATGCACTTGGGAGGTCAAACATACAAAAGTCCAATTAGCATGATTACACGTTTTTCAGTCTACATTTTCTGCTAAATGACCACCTACCATCATTTTTGGGGGAACTATAAGGCAATCTCAGTTTATTCAAAGTAACTAACCTTTCAAGCTAAAACTCAACCCGAATGCACAAAGAATATTTGGGGGAAAATGCAATTCCAGCATGCATCTCAGTACTGTCCCAATTTTTATATTTTTACGAAACTGTTCAATGCCATTAGTTCTTACTGTGGCAGGCAGGTCGCAGCATCTGTCTCGGCTGATCCAGCTCAAGCTGCAGACAATATCGAACATCTGGAGCTGGAACTACACAACAAAAGACGTGAAGAACAAGGATGACTGTGACAAATGGCTTCCATTAGGAGTAAAAATTAACATTGTTGAAGAGAGATGGGGTGACCATGGAAAAAGACAAGGCTGCAGACTTTCATCCTTACATTAATCATTACAAGGAGCAATTAAGGCCACATTGTGCATCTATGCACAAGAATTTCCAGAGATATTCTCTGAAACACTGTAACTTGCTCTTCCAAATGTATTTTTCCAAGATTTGGCCATTTAATCAAGTTTGACTTCTTTTATACTTACTGTAGCAGACTGCCTCTTCCCGCCTCCTGACTTGACCATCTTGCCAAGCACTTCGTAGCCCTCGACTGTGATGTTGTTGGCCTCCTTGATGGGCTTTTCTGCAACCTCTTGGCAGTCTAGGTTGAGCTTGACTTTCTCAGGAGAGACACTAATGTGGAGCTGCAGGAGAGAGATGATGGAGGGGGTGTGCTATTAACAAAACAATCTTGTCTTCTTAAAACTCTACGTCCGCCAAATTTGCTGGAGCACAATTACTTGGCCAACTGTACTAAGAACATTTAGGGACCATTTGTAGTTTGAGGAGACATGCCTGCACTTTAAAAGAAAAAACTTTAAGAAAGTGCTACCACGAGGCTACAAGCAATCTAGTCATACATTTTGTTTCCTGATACCTCCAAATTTCAGAAGTAACTATAGACTTACTATGACCCCAAATGGATACTGATTTGGCAAGAAATTACATGTTGTTGCTTAAAAAAAAGAGTGAGACATAAAAAATTACATATGTAACAGCTTGAAGTTTAAAAGTAATCAGCCATTATATAGCGACGAATGACACAAAGTCAGATTTTTTTGTGTCCTATGCGGAAAACTTAAAACCACATCTTGAAACAATAGTTTTTGTGGTTTGCCATCAAAAGTCCTACACTTTCCATACTTTCCCTTTGCAGCTGAAAATTTTCCTCTGCTCAACACTCAAACAAACCTTCTTATTGTCAGGAAAAGCAAGCTGCCATCTCTTTATACATATATATAACAACCACAGCCTGGGTCATAGAGCTTGGCCACCAATCACAAAATTGCACTCGACTTCCTTGGCAACAGAACAAACTAACTGGTGGGCCACAAAGAGAAATGGGTGGCATTTATCCCAGGGTCCTGGCATAGATGCAAAGTGTGATAATGCTGTTTAGGGCTTTATAAAATAACTCTGGATTGTATACTGCGATGGCAAATAAAGCGCATGTATATATTACCAACAAGTAAATCCAATGAAAACACGTTAGTCATCAGAAAATGAGTCTTTTCGAAAAATAACTTGATCACTACCTCTTTAGTTGATGTTTGCTGTTATGTGAGCTGGTTTTGCTGCAGAAGTGTTAAAAGATGGACGACTGTCGTTTGTTCATTTCTAACGAAAAGGATCTCACTTTGTTGAGTCAAGTAGACTTCAATACCACCAGCTCAGCTTCAGCACTGGTAATGGTTTTCAGTTATGTCTATCAGACTCAATTCCACGTCGCGCTGGATAATGGCATCTGTTAAATCCATAAATGTCCTAATTAAATGTCCAAATTAAAGCGTGTGTTCTATTTATGCTGGCACAACTCTTCTAACCATATCCCAAAAAAGAGTGTGAGTTCAAGACCTCCAACTGCAGATGAAAACTACATGGGGCTTTTTGTTGGGCACAGTAACTTCTACACTGAAACTTCTACCATTACCTGTGAAGGCAAAATGACTCACTGTAACTTAAGGAAATGTCCTCTTGACTTTATTTTTACTGGAACTCCCACCATTACTATGTAGGAGGGGACTCCCCAGTGGGCAGCTGAATGACCAGCATCTGGTACAGTTACCTCTGAGAGCTTTCCCATATGTCATCACTAAAAGTAGACCACGACTCCCCACCCCTCCCCAGGCTAGGCCACTCTTTATTAACTAAACTAAAGGTGTAGTCTTTGACCTGACAGCAATGTACCTACACATACGGTAGAAGCTAAGGACTATGTACCTACAAAAGCTATAACAGAACTGGACCAGCAGCAATAAGTACCATCACAGGGTAAAGGTTACGATAACTGCTCCTCATTGTCACTGGGATTTTTAGTGCAGATACAAAAGCACACAAACATACGACGGTCACTCTGTAATAGCTATGGATGAGGTGTTGGAAAACCACTGACAACATGTAAACTCACACCATTACCGCAGTCAGCAGCGGCACTTACTCAGCAGACCAACAAATAAGCAGCTAGGTAGACCGCTGCAGACTTGCCAGTTCATGGAATAACAACTACTGCACCACAAACTAGCCACCCCTTGCAAGTTCAGACTACAGTCCCCATTATGGCCACAGAATGAAAGAACAAAAACACACATACACATGTGCACTCGCACAAAAAGATTAGGCCACTTTCCAACTGGACCAACAGAGAATGATGTAATTTGCTTCAAGTACTGATCCAACATTTTCCAAAGTCTCATTTGCCTCTAAAGTACCCTACAATTAGTCATGTAGATGCTGAATGATCAGATTGAAAAGTCATTTACAAAGTGCTCTGATATCCAGGCCAATACGTCCCTTTGTACTGTGTAATGTCAGGAAGTGGGCGAGCTTTGATGCTGCATGGGACCCCTATCCATTGATATTATGTACAATTAGGGAAGAAAGGAATCCGTATGATAAACAGGGAATCTGCTATCCTTACAAACTCAGCTGCGACCGAGCATTTAAAACAGTCACATATTTAACTCAAGATAATCTGGTCTGGAATGAAAATATAAAGTGGACTATTGTTCTATTTCACACTCCCCACTAAGCAGGAAAATGACAGAGGATGTTTAACATTTGCTGCTGTGGATGTGGAGACATTTGATGTCTCTTCTGGCCTCATGTGGTGGCCCCAAGAGAGACCATAATGTAAGCTTGGCATGAAGTCCTTATACAGAGGTTTAACAAAGAGTGTGCAAAACACTGCTGTTTATTGTTCTGGGGATGAATGTTTTGAGTTAAACATGAGGTTTAAACAGACAATTTAATAGGCAGAGATGTTCGTGTATTTTTTTATAATAATAAGGCGCCACTGAAAGTCCTTGGTTAACAATTTGCAACAAGCATAGGACAGTTGATGGCACGGATTATTTTCAAAATAAAAAAAAATAGATTAATCTGAAGAGTTGCAGAAAACTAGATGCAACCTTTAATTTATTTATTTGCAATGTTGCACTGCTCTTTTGTCTACAACTACAATCATGTCCTGGTCTCTGCAATAATCTTGACACAACTCCCTTTGTTCTGACAGTAAAATCTGTGGAAGACTTTTTGAAACCAACTCAAGCTAAAAAAAAACAGTCTAATCAATCAAATTAAAGGGTTTGTTGGAGATTTGGCTCTGGCGTCTTCTTTTGCTCTAAACAGTTTGAACACTGTTACACTGGGTCATTGAAGCATCGGATTTACCCTCCTACCTCTCCTTAAACTTATTTATAGCCTCCACAGCCCATTTATCAAATGCAAGGTCCTTGTCTAAATAAAACAAGCCTTAAATGTCAAATCATAAAAGCGAGCCAAAACCCAAATTGACAGAAGACTGACACTAAGATTGAAAGCAGAGGCTCTTAGCCAGGTAACATGATACAACTTTGTGGCACAAGCTGTTTGTCAGAGGTCCCCATTACAGGGTGAAACAGGCAGATTAAATGAAGCAGAAGAGCTACACAGGATGTGTAAAGAATGAATGAAAGAATGTAGAAAATCCCTCAATAGACGACAAGAACTCAACCGTCATAAATATCACAATGTGGTGCCCATAGACAGTATTCCTCCCTTTAAGAAGCTTGCAGTGTGTTTACCTTGTGAAAGCTCCCATGGAAAACCCTTTTGACCTGCTCCTCATTAAACACGGCTTTCTGAATCTCTCCTCTGGTGTCCTTGTTGTAGAACGTGAGTGTTTTGCTGGAAGCTGAAGAGAGAAGAGGCCTTGATGAATCCCTGACAGAGTGTTACGATGCAGTGGCACGCAAAGTACAGACAGGAATATAGACACCATATGCTTCAGAAGAGAGGAATGATAAAGGGGCTCCAAGCAGACATTACTCCAAGTGTTTGTGTGTTCAAACCATGTGTGGATGTGCAATCCTGTCACAGATTAAAACATTTAGTTCCTCTGTTACAGACCGATAATAAACCAACTGCAATTACACTTGTGTTATGTTTCCACTTAATCCAATACATATAAATATTTCTATTTATATATAAATATATCAGATAACAATTTTATATGTTAATATATATATATATATATTATGATTGACTTACGATTGATAGTGAGTCCAACCTCCGGGTTGTTGCTTTTGTCCGAAATCTGCCAGATGTCAAAAGGTTCGGAGGGAGTGTCAGGCAGCAGACGGAAAAGCAGGATGATGGTGTAAGATGGGGGAAGACCATCTGGATGGATCTCCCTGTTCGCATGAAAATTGTGTTCTCATCACACACTCCGCCAGCATATTGCATTACACTGACAAACTTAGATAAAATCTATCTCCTATAACAAGTCTAATGCCACACAGGCTGCAGCAGATTTACACATGGTCATGCTTATATCAACTGTACACACACAGGAAGTAATTCCTGTTGCTTGTTCTTTGTTGCAATTTGAAGAATTTACATTTTCCATGCATTAAATGTCTGAACATACACATGCAAATGAACAAATTATTTATTTATTCCACAGACTAACTGCAAACAGAGAGTTGGACATAAAAGGAAATTCCTCTCAATTTTGAGGCTATTGAATATCATTGTAAATAGTGATAGGGGGCTTCATAGTTTTATGGCACAAAAGAGAAGACGCTAATAAGATGCAAAGTCCAACTGGTTTCACACAATTACAACTAATGTTTGGCCTTAGGTCTTACTTTGTTGGCTGGTTCAAGAAGGAATCTTTGTGCAGCCTGTAGGCAATGTAGCTGTTGAAGGAACCAGGTTCCATGGACACACCATTCATGCCAGCAAATGTCCGGTCTGTGATGTTGAAAGCTTCCAGCATCCTGAAGCCTGAAAGGAAAGAACAGGATGAGTTACACTGAAGAGTAAGAAAAGACACAATGAAACTCTACAGAAAGGTATAGTCCTTTCATTCACTTCCGAGTTTCCGAGGGATTAGGGCCTGTGTATGTTGAAGGTGTGTGCTTACCAGGTGTGGTGAATCCGTTGATAAAGATCAGAGGGCAAGCTGAAGGATGACAAGAAGTTACAAAGAAGTGTAAAAACAATGGGGTTGAAAGTATGCAACTGCTGTCTCTGTTCCTTTCTTCTAGTAATAAATTAGTGAGTCGTTTACCGGTGTGCTAAAAACCACCGTAGAATGTCAGAAGTGAATGTACTTACTGGATGTGGCTGTTTCGCAAATGTAGGTGATCAGGTTGTCTTGAATTTTGGCAAAAGCATCATAGTCGTCCACGACAAACACATGTCTCTCACTGGGCTTGCTGCCGATCTGTGCCAACTCTCTAATCTCCACATCTGCCACTCCAACCACAAATACACTATAGCCTGTGGGCAAAAAAACATACACATGCACATGTTCACAATGTAGGTCCAGCTAGGAGAGCATCACATCACAGCAAGGGTTATGAGTTCCCCCAGTTCAAACTTCAGATAGCTGAAGCAAAGTTTCTGAGCTAACAGTTTCACACGTTTCATGCAAGTGTTGAGCACACACAATGGTAAGTTAAAAACACACATACCAGAATGATGCAGTTTTTCTGCACTCTTCTTGACATCATCCTGGGAGCGGCCATCTGTTACAACAACCAGCATTTTGGGGACACTCCTCCTCATGCCGTTGTCCGATGTGAATACCTTCTCATAGACGTGCTTGAGAGCAATGCCTGGATGAAAAAGACAGAAACCCACAGATCTACACAATCCATCTGCATCAGAATTTTTAGTTTGCAGAGGTTTTCTTTTTACTTCAAGTACCTGTCTTGGTGTTGCCTCCTCTGTAACGGACTGTTTGCAAAGCTGACAGTACGATTCCCTTGTCATGGTAAGTATTCAGTTTGAACTCAGTCTTGGCATCATCACTGTACTGTACAAATGAAACCTGTTCAGAGAAAAGTAGAAACGAAAGTTAGGACAGCGAAATGATCACATAAGTTTATAGTGATGTACATGAACTAACCAACTGAACAATGTATAGTAAGGAATGGAGCACAAAATATTTGCTGACCTGCATGCCAGCTGGGCTGATGACATCAAACGCTGCAGTCATGCTTGTAACAAACTGGATAACTTTGACGAAGCTCTCATCTCCAATACTCCAGGAACCATCGATGAGGAAGACCAGGTCGGCCTTAGCACCTTTGCACACTGCGGGGCAAGTAAACCAAAATTAAACATCGATCTCTCCTGCATTATGATGATGGTTACCCTCATCAAAAGATGTCGACTTAAAATGTCTCCTCACCCTCTAGGGCTTGGGGAACTTCTGCTGGAGGAGGAGGGGGGGGTGGTTCAGTTGGCATCTCCGTGGGTTTCACCACTGCAATTCAAAAGAGAACAGCGCGCAAACAGGAGGGGTCACTTACTAATTAAATGTGAAGTTCTAGTGGATGTAGGTTTAAAGGACAAGGCCTGTATGCTCAAACATTAGTGTTGAACTGACAGCGGACATTTTCTTACATGTTCTCTCCTTCACGCTTACTCCAGGTCCCTCGAGGTTGGGGGTTTGGGTGTACACAGTGGCATTGTAAAGAGTGTCAGGGGTCAAGCCATCAAAACAATAATTACTCTCAGAGCCTCTGACAGTGATTTCCTGAGCTCCACTCTTAGAGGCTACATGGAAGGAAGGGAACAAGAGAACAGAATAGCAATTGAATGGTTTCATGGTGAAAGATGGTTTGTTATGTCATTCCTAATATAAAGTGCAAATGAGTAAAGCTCTCACTGTCAAAAGGATTGACTTTGAGCCTGTAGGAGGTGGCTGCTCTGTGAGGTGCCCAGCGGATGCAGAAGGAATCGTAGCCAACATTGTAGGTGGTCAAGTCAGTCACATTAAGGTACACTAAAGGGGAGCAAAGCAGAGCTCTTTTGATATATAATTCCTACATGGCCAGTTAAATATCAAAGGCCAATGTCCGCCACGCAACACATTACAACATAATCCACTTACATGTGGTGCCTTGACCGATCAGAGGTGCACTGACGCCTGTGGTGTACTCAGCCAGAACCTTCAGATCATAAGTGGTCCCAGGTTTCAGGTTATGCAGTTGGTGGGAGGTCACATCTCCAACAAACACCTCCAAGGATTCATCCGAGCCTGAAAAGGGACATATAGGGAAAAATAATAATTTTCAATGTCGAGAAAAAGGTGTCTTCCCCTGAAAGGACACTACTTTGGCCATATTGAAGCTTTTCTTACCCTCTGGTTGGTAGATAAGCTTGTATCCATTGACCCTGGAGGGGGCTGGGTCCCAGGACACCCTAAAGCGGGTGTACCACTCATCAGAAACACGGAGGTTCCTGGGGCCAAGCATTCCAACTGGAGAAAAATAAGACAGCCCAGTCAACACAGCCGAAGACTCACTAAGGTCCAGAAGCTTTGAATTCAGTCTATTCAGTGTTGTCATCTATCAGCAGTGTGTTATTGTACTGCAGTTACAGATCATCATACTATCCGAGTTATGAGTCAAATATTGAAACATTTGAGAGATGAGATGGTAAAATTCAATAAATATTCAAGAAGGGAAATGCAGTTGTTATGTTACGTTATAAATAACTATTTTGTTTGAAGAAGAAAAAGAACACTGGCCGGCATTGCAAGAACAAAATCTCCTTTTTCCTCACTGGAGTCCAGACAGCTAATATTTTTGGTGGAAACTGCTGTTGGCATTCTTGAAAAGCCAAGAATTTCACTTTTGCTCCAGTGTAGTATGATTCATGGACTTATTTACAGAAGGCAATAGTACATGTATCACCTGTTTATGCTTTCTGTTCAAGCAGTTAGCATTCAGCCATAAAAAAACACAGCAAGACCCATTTAAGTGGCTACTTGGACTGATGAGTTTCTACCTGTACGCCCAGTTCCATCCAGCTCTCCTCCAGGCCCATCAGCATAGATAGCTGTCACCTTAATGTTATAAGGAGTGTCTGGATCCAAGCTCTGCAGGACCACATTGTTTCTGTTCCCTGGAACAGTAGTCTATAAAACGTATAATAAAACGCATTATGAACAATAATGACACAAACAACAGCAATAAAATAAACAAATAAAAAACAGATTGGATATTTGAATTGCACATTTTGGGGTTACAGATTGATTAAAAGCTGGATATTCGTCTGTGTGAAAGGAGTGAGGGCAGTTTCTACAAACTGAATGAGTAGAGTTAGAAATGTGCTCACAGATTCTTCGATGGGGTCTCCTGTGAGCTGGGCATAGGTGATGCGGTATTGCATAACGGGACCTTCTGCGTGCTCCCAGCTAACAGAGAGTGTGGTGGTGGTGGGGTCATAGACACGCATGTTCCTCGGAGCACTACGGGGCACTGTAAAAAAAAAAGAAAATATGAATAAATAAATAATAAATAAACGTTTCTGCTATTCAGAGGCGTCGACACGGATCATTCCAAAGATCTAGCATAGATGCTTACATGTCTTTCCATTATCACTGACAGCAGTTCCTTCACCATCACTGTAGAGAGCAACGACTCCAACATTATAATCGGTGTCTGGGAGCAGCTGCGTCAGCAGAGCTGTGGTGGTGGTGCCTGGCACCACAATCTGCACAGGCACAGCAAACAAAATGTCATATTCCATCATCTATTTAGTCTCGCTGCACTAACTGTGCAAATGTAACAACAACAAGTAGCGCTGTTAGTTTTTGGAAAACTAAATCATATAATGATGCACGGCCCCCTCACAACATGTACACAAATGAAGACTTCTCACTTCTCTCCTGACAGCTCTTGATTTGGAAGGCAACGTAGCAATAATACCTCCATTTTACTCAACCAGTCTGCACTAAGGGAAAGGAGAGGCAAAAAATATTCCTTTGATCCTCAGAGTCAGAGAGCAGTGGTTTGAGGGGTGGGGGGGTGGGGGGTGGGGGGGTTGACAGTCTGCACAAATGATTAACACGGTTTGACAGTGTGACAGCTGATTACACAGAAGCAACTTTCCCCTCAATCTGTCTTTGTCTTTGACTTCATTAGCTGGACAGAGTAAGGTCAGAGCTCCTCGAGGGTGCTGACCTGGCGATAACCTCACTAAGGGAGTCCCAGAGGTGGAGAGGTGAACACTTCCTCTGAGGCTTTTGATGAATAGGGAAAATATGTTTTGAAGGGGTGTGTGCGTGCGAAAGAGCACCATATGTAACTAATGGAGCCACAGCTGGATGCCTGAATCTACTTTCCATGTTTTCATGTAACTTACAGATACAACAATGTCTTTCTGTTCAATCTGCTTCTAATCTGATTGTGTCACTCGTAGCCTGCTCCCATTTCTCTTGGCTGAAAACCTTCAGAGGTGTTTGGAAACGTCAGTATAAAAATGATATAGCAGCCGACACCAGTAAAGCTACTAGTTCAAGCTACAAATCTCCAGCTGGTGTAAAATTTGATGGTACTGGATAAAAGGCCACTTTGCCACTGACGCAAATCATTGGCCGTGGTCAAGGAAAAGTCTTGAACCTGCCATAAATGTGCTAACGCATAGGGAAAAAGGCTAAGCCCACCTATCCATCAACCCACTGGAACATGCTCACTTTTAAAAGACCGTGATGTTTTTTTTAAGACCAAAGAAGGATCTGTTGTTAATGGTGCAATCTTTCTGGCAGATGCTGATGCTTACGGTGGGATGTTGGGTTCTTTATGGACTCTTTACACGTGAGGATGTGGGTACTTTGATGGCATTTGGCACATATGTTATGTGGAGACCAGGATTTGCAATTAAATAAATTATGCTTTAATGAGCATGTCTTGGTTTAACACTTTAGTAGTTAGGATGCATTGAAGAATATCCCGAGAGGTAATTAAAAAACATGCATACACACTCCGTTTGGTGAGTGTTTAACTGTATACGAAATATAAATATAAATTTTGGTAAAAATGCAAAAAAATTTAAGTTTACCAAAAGAAGAGTGTGAGCATATTTCATATCAAATGCTTCCCAAATACTGCTAGGCATTAATTGCACTGTAATTAATACTACTGTTGTACACTTTTTAATTATGTACTTTTTTCTGCATTACTTACCGACTCAGAAGGCCTGGCACCAGTTAGAGGAGCGTAGACCACTCGATACTGCTCGACTGGACCTGTTGCTGCCTCCCAACGAACGTTCAAAGTGTTGGTGGTGGGATTGTAGACTTGGATGTTTCTGACGGGGCTGCGCTCCACTTCATCAACAATGGATGGCAAGAAGGTGGTTTTGAGGCAGAAATAGGGGTGAAGTACAGGGTTAGTGTGAGAGAGGGATAGGCTGAGTTTTACACAAACTTGTGTAGTTTCATAAGAGTTATTTGAAAATATAAATTACATATTTGTGAATCTTCTAACCAGCAACATTATACTTCTTCCACTATCTCAGCTTTGAAAATAAGGGCTCAGGGAGAGTTGTGGATAGCCATAAGAGGACTATAAGAGAACATTTCAATGGAATGGGAACAATTCACCTAAGCAACCAACATGTTTAAGACATTATTCAACAATGCAGATAGCAATGGGATGCTTCCTGTCAAAGCCCTAAAGGTTAATGAAAAGGGTATACAAGGCATATGTGTCGCCCTGTGTGAAGCCTGCCTTCCAAAAAAACCAAAGCAGATGTTTAACGGCTGTGTGCAGCTCCCTGTTATAACCCCATAAATGCGAGGGAAAAGCACAGTGGGCAAAACACCGAGCAGGCATTTGTACTTTTAAAGTTTCACACACCAAAGCATGTTCTTGAGAAGCCTGCTTTGAATTAATCAGACACAATGAGGCCTCACTGAGTGGCAATGCTGGTTCAAACTGTGAGTCCAGGTTCCTTATTAAAAAATACCATGTGAGTAGGCAAAAGAGGCCCAAAAGTGTGAGCTGATAAACAAAACGTACTGTTTAAGAATCTGTTCTGGGGGAAAAAGTCATTAACCATGAAGGGTGACTACTGCAGGAGGGAAAATTGGGGTAACAGTAGCATGCATGGAGCATGACCCTGGCCAAGTGAGCTGAGAGCCATAAAAGAAATAATGCTCTTCATTCATTTCTTAACTCCCCTGTTACTTTTTCCTAATATAAGAGCCAAACACTCAATATATCCCTTCCACATTCTCCAGTCCTTCCATTATCCTTACCACTGGCCCTCATTCCAACCTATAAATGGACAATATTACAGTAAAGAGAGAGGAGACACCATTATGATGCTGCCAGCCCAAAGGAATTCCTTCCTACGCAATCACCCCACAGAATGCTGACTCATTCCCTGCCGAGCTTGGTGGTTTCATAGAAAAACTTGAAAATACATGTTCTTTACCACAGTTCAAACTAATGTGAACCTAAGCTTTATGTTTGTCTACGTTACATATTAAGCGTTACGTGAATTTATCCTCTTCCTAAACAACAAAGTCGCTTTAGTTTTGGGTTGATTTGGCTTAGAATTCAGAGAAGATTTGGATATCATGAGAAAATTAGTTATAACTTACTTGCCAGCATAAAGTAGGAGGAAGCCAGCAACTGAGGCTAGTGAGTTCATTCTGGACAAACATGAATGGATTCCTGACTGGAAAACAATCCCTCTGCTGTAATGCGGTTTGTCATTCACAGAAGTCCATTGGATTTTTTTTCTAACACAAAGCTGTCCTCGAGGAATATCACCATTTCTTCTATCGTTTAAAACCACTCTGGTATAAGCTGTACATTCAAACCTATACCAGTGACAGCATGCATGCAGTTCTTACATGTTTTGCCATTCTCAGACATGCGCTGTCCCTCCCCAGCGGAATAGATGGGAACCACAGTCACAGTGTAGACCGTATCAGACTGCAGGTTCTTCAGCACAGAGCGGTAGGTGCTTCCTGGTACCTGCACCTGCACAGAAGTACCATACATACAAGTTTGGTTTGGTTGAAGTGACTGGAGGGGCGTTATGATCACTTATTGGATGCTATATAGACAAAAACTGTAGCACTTAATCCCCGTTTACCATTTCTTCAACCCCTCCAGCTGCAGGAACGTAGAAGATCTTATACTGCCGCACGTTGCCCTCGGCAGGCTCCCACTGAACGTTCAAGGTGCTGGTAGTGGGATCAGTCACCTGCAAGTTCCTAACACCACCCAAGGGCTCTGGGATGGTGTAAAGGTATGAGATGGTTACAACAGCCCATATACTCATACTTTGTCTTGTGTTTTAGAAGCTTTTTGTAGTCATGGACAGCTTACTCGTCTTCCCAAGGCCACTGAGGTCCCTGCTTTGTCCTCCTGCGTAAATGGCCACCACACTGATGGAATATTCAGTGTCAGGGGTCAGCTTGGGAAGCAGAACGGTCGTCTTCTTTCCTCCAATCTGAGTCTAATTGGGGGAGAATAAAAATGTGAGCCGTAGAAGTTATCAAACTAGTTCAAGGTGAGCATTGCTTTGGCTTTTGCTTTCAAAAGGAAATAAGGACTTTTCTGCTATGGCTTTGAAAGCTTTCCTTTTCTGCTTTTGAAGGGAGGAAAGACTTTCCATTGGTTCCTCAAATTAACGACCTGATGGAACGAATTCTACCTGCGAACCACAGAGCTGTCAACTTTTCAAATGGGGAATGTTTTGAGTGTTTTTGGACATGATCGGGGCAGCGAGTACAGGCCAAAGTATATTTCTATGCTGATTTCTGAAACAGTCGGATGTCTTGAAATGACCGATGATGGATCTACTTTACCTCTTTCGGCTTGGATCTAGCACAAAGACTTAATTCTAAGATTGTCAGGTAAAATGGGGATTTGTACATGTTAGTGTTTGTTTGTGTACATAAAAGTGTATCCTATGTAGATTTTCTGATTGCTGAGCTCTCTGGTCAGCTTCCCCAACCATTTTAAACAAATGAATCAATCTTTAACCACCAAAGAATGAAAGCAGGAGGTTTTATTCCACTGAAGAGTAGTAGTTTTCTTTAACACAAGGGTGTAGGGTAGGATAGAATCTCTGAAAAACAGCCCTATTCCAGATTCAATCATTTAAAACTCTCTGAGCAAGCTGTTCTTGTGGAAGTCTAAACACAAAATGAAGATGACGTGCGTGTAAATGGGATGTTTTGAAGTGTGATATCCCCCAAACTATTGGGCGAATCTCATGGACTGGACAAAAGGGATCACGTTTATGTAACACCAGCTGAAATTCTGTTTTTGTAAGAAAAACAAAGTAAAGTATAAAAAACAGCAATTTGTAAATATTCACTTAACTTCTCCAATATGACAGATGTTGGATATCATCTGGATCTTATTAACCATTTTAAAAGAACAGCTAATTAAAAGCCAGGTTTAAGAGCCCAACTTTCTCAACGCATTAAACACAGTCTGCTGCATAATATGACACACATGGAAGTGTACTCCCTCATTTACACATTCACTGAGCTAACTGGACAAGCACATTCCACTTTCCAGGCACACAAACAGTTTACAGATGATAGTCACACCACACCGCAGATAACAGTTCTCCCTGTGGACCTATCGGAAGAATCTTTCATATTTATAATATCTGTGCAATATCTCTCTTGCACAACGTCTCATTTGCCTTAAAAGCGATAAAATGAAGTAGAAATATTTTAACCATTCGGTTTGAGCAGTTCATGTACATTTAGCCTGCGTCACAGCTAATCCATGATGCTCTCCATCTGTAAATGTTTATGTGAGGCACGATTAGCACATTTCTGTTCTTCTTTGAACTTTTAAGCTTTGAGATATATGAGACTGGAAATTTAAACCAAATAATAATTTGTCATCCAAAAACCTTTTGGCACGCTAAGTACCAACGCCATAAAATTCATAAAATATGTACGGCCAGTAGAAGATCGGGAGCAGCAAATTCACTCTGTGACAGTTTGTAAGGTGGCTTGTGGACGCAAAACTAAACAGTATTGAATCGGCAAAAAGGAAATGTGGATTTTTTACAAACCCTATTTTGCTCTGAATTACTCATAAACAGAAAATATATTAAAAAATGTTACACCAATTTAAATTCAACCTCATATATATTAGGAAGAAAATAAGTTTGCCAATTTGCAAAATAGTTGAGTGAAATTCCTGTAACTAAATGTGGGGTGACTTACAGTCTGAGTCCTGCCTCCAGCCGTAGGGACATAGGTGATCTTGTAGTTCACAACACGGCCCGGAGGTGGAGTCCACCTGGCGTTCAAAGTGGTGGTGGTTTCATTGAACACAACTAAGTTGGTGGGAGGTGCATTAGGTGCTGCAAAGTGCACAAAGACACACAAATATCAAAGTTACAACCAAATCAAGATAGGCTGCGGCCAGTACGAGCATTTGCCATTGAGTTGCCCTCCATAATCTTTTAAAGACACAGTCCTCGACCATTTTGGTGAAAGTAGGTTCAAGTTGTCTTCAACTGGTACTTTTCCATAATAAGATCACTTCTATATCAGAAAATCATTTTATATGAAAATCTCTTTGATGTATCTATCTATTGGTGACAGACAAGGACTGCAGCTTTAAAGAGGAAAAGACAATCCTCAGGGATTTTGTCTTTTCTGAAGCAAAGATGGATTCTTTAAATGGCACTGGGTTGATGATGATGATGAAGAGGAGGATGATAATGACAGATGGACTCATGAATGCATGGACAAGAGCAATGGATGGATGAATGGATGGATGGAAAGATGATGATTGATGGGATTGGCATCAAAAACAGGGAATCACATCCCTGTTTTGGCAGGCATGCAGGGTGGAAGTCCGTCTTCAGCCGCTTAATTCACCTGAGTAAGAACATACTCAGGAAGAAGCCTTGGGATGGACAGCATGGACAATTGCCCAAACACAGACAAGGACAGACAAACACATAATAAAACCGGGCTGTGTCAGAAGCAGCACCATTGGAGCGGGCAGTGGGGTTAAGACCCTTCTCTGTGATGAACAGAGAAGTTGTCCAGTGCACAACTGTGATGATGACTGAATGAAAAAATGAGACATGCTTTTTCCTTTGCTTTACCACCAACATACTTACTTGGTCTACCATCTTGCTTGGACACTACAGAGGCAGAAATACAAAAGGTATAATGGGAAAACCTTTCACATTAAATTTCAATCAGCTCATTTCTAGATGGCATAAATTAAATAGATGCACTAGCCTTGGGTCAAGGTCCAACAAAGAGATTCTGTCAAATAGTCTTAGTAAAACAGTGGGACAGAATTTTGAATGTGTCGTCGCGACGCTGCTAATGCGCATGTCTTACATGTTCTCTCGGTGCCCAGAAGGTCCTCGCTCTCTGATTCATCTGGGTAGATTGCAGTGACAGACACATCATAGGGCGTGTCTGGCTCCAAGTTCTCCAGGACGTGGCTTGTCTGATCATTGTTCAGGATGTCCTGTTGAGGAACACGCAAAAACAAAAAGACGTTGCCAACACAAACCAAAGGGAAGCGACGCAAGATCAACACAGAAGGCATCCAAACTGGATGAGTACTAAAGTCTGTTTTTGTTCTCAAAGTCTCTACCTGAGATATTTTCCAAAGCAAAGCAGAAGATTTTTTGCATGAAATACCACCACAATTTATAAAAGGGTAAACATCTTTGACAGCTGGCTTTCTCTTACATATTGGAAGTTGAACTCTCCCTTCTTAGTCCAGCCGATGCGGTACAGAGCCACATCGGGGGCCCCGTGTTCCCAGGTGGCCCTGAAGCTGGTCTGCGTGACTTCTGAAAACTGCAGGTTCTTTGGCGCTGGAACCACATCTATAGAGTAAAAGGAGGGAATTGCATTTCAGCAGTCGGAAACAGACCAGCGCTCGTTTCATTTGCGACAATCGTGAAAAGGATTCTTTTTTTTTTTTGTTGTACCCGTGATTGCACTTCCCAACATTGGCTGCCCGGGTCCTTCGTCGTAGATTGGAGTAACAGCAAGAGTGTACTCAGTCTGGGAGATCAGGTTGTCCAGCTGTCTCACAGTCACACTGCCTTCCACTTCCAGCTGTCGAATTAGAAAACGTCCTTTTAAATGTCATGCAAAACATTAAAAGGTCTATTTTTATCCATTTGGGATGGTAATCTGAAAGCAAATCAAAGCGTCCTTTGTAATGAATACCAAACTGTTCATTCTACTCTTAATGGCATTCAACACAAACAGTAGCAACAGCAGTTATATGAGCGGGACAAATAACCGTTAACAGCTGCTATGTGTTTGTCTATGCTGGCACTTTATTTGTCTCACAGGACCATAAAAGAAATTCGAAAAGATTCTCGTTGAGGTAATGTGGCCTGCAGTTTGTATTCTGAGTAGCATGCTGTCACTGGCTAAAATCTCATACATCCTCTGACTTTGAGTCACTTTCACATGTGTGTTCCTACCCTGGGAGCTTCGAGGATCACCTTCACCTGATTTATGACCACGGATGTAGCAAAACGCAAACTACAGATTTTGCTCCTCTAGCCCAGGAACTCCCAAAAGGGGGAATGCAACCATAAAGCACTCGTCCATGATAACCCCCCCCCCCCCAGAAATCATGTTTCGATAGTTTCATAATCTTTTCACTGGACCCCAGAATATTCCCTCATTTCCACCCAACCAGCTGCTGTCTCCATTATGCGATATAAGCCAATGTAATAAAGAATAAGTCAAGAGTGTATCTATAAATTCATCACTATCAAAATCAATGCTTCTAACAGACAACAAGTAGTGCAAAGGGAGAATAGGACTGGTAAAAAAAAGCCTGTTAGGTCAATAAGAAGATGATGTGGGCATTTTCACCCAAGTGCTATTCATCAAACTTCTCAATAATCAGGTTCCCATATGGATTTGTTTTTGTAATGACTGGAACGGAAAGTTCAAGACGTCTGGATCCAAACTCACTTCTTTAGCCTCTCCATCCTCGGGCTTGTATGTGATGAGGTACTTGCGAACGGCACCAGGAGCAGCGTCCCAGTAAAGCACCATGGTGCTGTGGGTGACGTCGCGAACCCTCAAAACCCCCGCTGGAGGCAAGGGCACTGAAATAAGGGACAATTAGTTTAATCTGAATGTGCTTCATTATAGCTAACAGTAGACAAACTGGTGAAATTTCCAAATGAATTGAAAAACACTGGCGATCAAACACAAACACAAACGCAACGTACAGGTGACCCCCTCCTTGGTCAGTGGTTCGCTGGCGAGTTGTTCATAAAGGGCGAAGAGAGAAACGCTGTAGGCCGTGTTGGGCAGCAGCTTCAACAGCTGGACATCAGTTGTGTCTGCTTTCACTCTCATCTGGAAGGAGGCCAAACCAAACAGAAAACAACAAGGTCAGAGAGGAAGCAGATGACCGGCCAAAGAGACTCAGGCATCTGCATGAAAAAAGTTAGAGGGAAATCTATCTTTCAGCTGCTGAGTCTGGTTTTGACTCATCGGATTTGACACTTCGAATAAGGATGTTCCCTTGGCAGAGTGAGCTCATAGTTCATCCACTCCTTCCTGACTAACAATGTTTCTTTGTAATATGCCCTTTTCCCTGTTGGCCGAATGGCAACACAAATACTGGTGGCTTTGTATAATGTTAGTTTAATGTTTTACATCTGTATTTAATGAAAGCGCTAACAGTTTCGAGCATTCATCCGCCTTCAGAGTTTGCTGATATGTATTTTGTGTTAACTGCACTCCTATGCTGTCTGTTGTGTTTGTGCATTACCTCCTGTTCACTGGTGGGCTGGGTGGCATTGAGGGCACTGTAGAGCAACAAGTATCCGGTGGCTCCAGCTACCCTTTCCCACCTCACTCGCATGGTGGTAATCTGTTCATCATAAATGCTCATACTCTTCACACTATTTAAGGGCACTGGAAAACAAAGAAGTAATGTCAAAGGCAGAAATAAATGATAAAATAAAATAAATAATAAAATAAATAAACATTAAAAATGGCATTTTCATCATTAATTCATCTAAAAATACATCTAAGTGAACTTCCAACCAAGGGATATTACTGAATCTAGATGATCAAACATGTACAAAATGATGCACCTTTTGTCTGCATGTGACTGCATTTAGTTTTTTGTAAGCCTTTCACACGTCAAACATGCTTTTTATGTGTACTTTTATATAGGACTATTAAATCTCTGTTATTCTAAAGAGAAGCCGTGAAGAAGCAATTTAGATCTAAATAAAACAGAGGAAAAAATTACACTTGAAAGCAATTGTGATTATTCAATTACTCTTGTTACTTTTTAACATTTTTTCAAAGGAGACCACACAGGACTTAGAGTTACTGAGTGCATTAGATCTGTCTGTTTGACCCAAAAGAATTCAGTAACGGTGGTCAGCTCAAAGAGAAACTCTGATCAGATTGATTGAAGGTTCATAAGTACATAAATGCATATTGAAAGTCAAATTCTTGCTCTTTGTCAACGACATTAATCTTTATCAGTTAGTCATTTTGAATTACTAATTAAGCTGTTTTTTTGTTGTTGTTTTTTTACAGATGTTTAAGTTTTGTTACATATTCAGTTTCATCTCTCTGTTTCTGATTCAGTTTGGATGTGTCAGTTGGTGGGTGACTCGAGTATGTTGAGACAAAGAGACTGCAGACATACGCGTGGTCTCAGTTCCTTTCAGGGGCTCGCTGCTCTCCTCTCCCATCAAAGCGTAGACATTGACCATATACTCTGTCAGTGGGGTGAGGCCGATGAGAACCACGGTGTTCTCTGTACCGTCCACAAACACCTACAGCGGAACAAAGGAGTGCTCTGTCAGATTTTCTGACGTAACTCAAAAAACCCACTCATATATGGAAAAATTCATCATGGAATAGGTTCCAAATCCACAAACAACAACAAAAGCTAATCTACGATCTCCATGATTCATCAAAACTCTGAGAACTCAACAAAAGCAAACGCTTCCTACAATGTAACAAGACTCGGACATCAATAGAGCATCTGTTCCAAGTGTCCAGGACCCAAGACCCTGCTGGCCTGCATATCTAGAACTCAAGGAGTAATTATTTACTTTTAATTCTCTAAAGTGAGAGGAGTATGTGTGTAATGTAATTAGACACCCAAACAGAGGCCAACATAATCAAGATCCTGGACAGAGAAGACTGAGTCTGCCTCTAGTATTAGAGGCAGTGGGCCCAGACAGTGTTAAGTCAACAGCCCATCAACACCTACAGGGGGAGATGCACTACAGTTGCTTTAGGTTAAGAATGTGGTTGCTATACCTCCTGTGGGAGTCCCGAAAGAGTCATGTATTCCACGCGGTACTTTTCGACTGGTGTTTCTGGAGCTACCCAGGTGGCTCTGAAGGACTGGTGGGTCACCTCTGATGTCACCAGATTAGTAGGTGCATCTGGAGCACCTCCTATTTGAATTAACCAGGAAGAAACACGGAAACTGTTGCATTATCAGTTATATACACCACCCTGTAAACCCACAACTGTGTACCCTCGACCTGTGTTGCTTTGACTAGCCACATGCATTAACAAATTTAGATAGTTATTAATGGTTTTGAAAGCCTCTTTACAAACAATATTTCAGAAGACAAAAAAAACGCTATTGTAATAAGATAAAAAATACTGCTTTCTGCTACAAATCCTAACAAAACCTAGGAAACAACACAGAACTTTTTCAAACCATTAAAGTCACATTCAATCCTCTGTTCCTTAAGAATGTCATTTTTGACCTCACACTTCATAGAACTGTGGGATTGATTTTTATTCTGAGGTTAATTTGGACGTACCTGGTCCCTTGACGCTGTTACAGAGGTTGTCAGTCAGACTGCCAACAATGTCCAGTAAAAAGGAGAAATCAGCCACATTGTACATGTGAATGTCGTCTGGATCAGTGGCAATGGACCTCAACTCATTCTCATCAGCATTCTTCACACCTAAAAGGAGTCGGGGAGTGATTATAAGAAGATTAAATGCATGCATCATTCACACAGTGAAAGTGTGCTAAAAGTATGTTTGCTTACCAATGGCATACAGCTCAATGCCCTGATCCCGCAAGTTCTGAGAGTTGGCGATTACATCGTCCTGTGATCTACCATCAGTGATCAAGACTCCAATCTTACGGGAGTTGGGTCTCATCCCAACATTCTCTTTGAAATTATTCTGAAGGATGTAGTTCAAAGCCAGACCTGGAAAAAAATTCATCTCAGTCCATCCGTCCCTCAGATTGCAAAATCAGCTGATGAATCAAATGAAAGAGAAAAAAAATTACCTGTCATAGTATTTCCTCCTTTATAGGGCAAGTTTGCCACAGCATCTAGGAGAGAATCCCGGGTCGGATGGGCATTCAAATGCCATTCAGTCTTTGGGTCTCCACTGTACTGGGCAAGCCCAATTTGGACCCTATCGGGACCGATGTCGAAGACCCCCACCATGCGGGAGATAAAGACCCGAATGGTCTTGAAGTTAAGACGACCAATACTCCAGGAGCCGTCCACCAGCAGCACAATGTCAGCCTGCGCTGTGGTCTTACACGTCACACCTGACAGCACAGAAGTTCATGTCACGATGGAGCAGAGATGTCCATTTAAAATCAGATGTAATGAAGCAATAATGCACAAAAGTCTGTGGTGAAACAAAATGATAAGTGAGGTATTTTAGGAAATGGAAGAAGAGGTAAAGAAAGAAAACAGCATGAGATGAGAAATTTCACTTCATTGTCTGAATGAAAGATAAGCTGAACAACTTTATAAAAATCTTTTTCAGAGGAAATGTTTGTCAGAAAACTTTGATTTCCAAGGTGTTTTTGTCCTCTTTTCAATAGTTCCAGGATCCAGTAAGTTCCAAAGGAAGGTGAGGACAAGTGCACTGGACCATTTCACTGGAGAGATTACTGTGCCCTTCAAAGCAGCAAGGTAATATTTAGATCCTGTTCTCCAAACACCTGTAAAAGGAAGGCTTCCAATCCTTTGTACCTAAAAGGGGGCTGCAGATCTGCAGATATTGTCACTTGCTGCAACTAGAAACAGATTATATGGTATTTAATTTACAGATTAGCTAATACAAATAAACACTTTAGCCTGAAAACATATAAAAACTTGTCTGGTGATATACATTTTCTCCAACAGATTAAAGATATACAATAATAAACAAGATGTATTGATTAGGCTTAGGAATGTAAAGGAAGCATGGGCGACATGACTGAAATCTATAAACACAAGCAGATTAACTAAACACGCCTGTGTTCTTAAAAGTAACAAAGAGCATGATGTGAAGATTCCAGACTAAACTCATGCAAAAGGAAAAATGTAACTGTGGAAACGTGCTTAGATTTTAAAGTAGTACTTTTCAGATCTATGCCTGTGAACTGTTGGGCAACATTCTGTGAAACATTAAGGAGACAGAGACCTGCTGAAACATTCGCATGAATAAAAAGAGTCCAATAAAGACACAGCTGACAACTACTGCAGTAGATATCTTTAAAGGACATTACATTTAGAAAAGGAGAAAAACCTATAGTAAAAATCACCTTGTCCTGTACAAATCTATTGAATCTAGCTGTGTATGAGCGGAATACTCTGCCCAGGCAAATAGAAAGAAATCAATGATTTCCCTTCCAATTGGAGAAAGGCTATGTTTGCTCAAATAAATGGTCAGGTCTGATTAGAAGTGAAATGACCTCCCCTTTTGCAAACATCACATGATATTGCTCATATCCACTGAAAGGGATGAGAGGAGAGCTACCAGAGACACACAGGGACGAGCCTAAAAAAGTCTGCAAAGGTTATCTCTCCCCTCTTCCTTTTATCTTGGAGTGTTTTTTGCCTCTGAATGAACCTCTTTTATCGTCAGAATGGTCACACTGACCTTGACAGATCCTTCCAGCAAGCACAACATTTTTTCCTTTTCTCGCACTTCATGCCTGCCATGTTCTGACTCACCGAGTAGTAAAACAATTTTAACTGCAAACAGATTATATGTGCACGGCTCGCGACTACGTAGGCTGTTCTTGGATTGGAAATAAAAGCGGAAGCCCAAAGTGACACAAAAAAAAAAGAAAGAAAAGGGCAAACATATGGAACTGCTCTTACATCTGTTACTGTGTGAGACAATTAGCTTTGAGGAAAGGCATTTAGAGAGCCTCTTCATCTTTAATAGGGCATGGGCTGAAAGTGTATTTTCCAAAGCAACATTTTATGATGTGATACAGCGTCCAATGTTTGTGCTGTTGCTGCTGAGACATAACATGGTAGAGACGCTGCCTTGAAAGGTGATGGCCGACAGCTACAGAATAACTAAAATCATTCCTGGTATTTGAGTTCTACTTTTGTATTTGAATCTAACATTTCCCCCTCCTGTCTTAAAGTTAAATGAGCTGAAATCATATAAAGGTGTGTTTCAGGGTAAAATATTGTGCAACTTTACTTGGTCTCTCTGAAATTGGAGTGTCAGGGTCATCGGAATAAGTGGTATTCTCCTCCCCAGCCAGTGGCATACTCACTCCTCCGTCAAACATACCAAACACATTCACTGTGTATTTGGTACCAGCTCTGCAGAGCAAAAACACAGAGGAATTTCATGACATCATTCACTGGGCTATATTCAGGAAAACTCATACAACAGGAAAAAATTCAATGAGAAATCAGCTTCAGCACACACCTGAGCTCCTCGAGCACCACAGTGTTGTCATAGGGGCTGACCAGAAGCTCTCTCAGGTCAATATCATCCTCCACAGGGTGGAAGGCGACCCTATAGCCCCTTACATCACCGGGAGCATGGTCCCAGGTTACCCTGAAACTGGTCTTGGTAGGCTCTGAAGTCTGGAGATTTCTTGGACCTTTGAAAGGTGACACTGGAAGAGAAATAAATGCATAGACTGACTAGAACTGAAAAAAAATAACACAACAAACTCAGTTATCGTGAGTCTGTCGAGGGTAAACAACATTTTTAACCTGGCTAAAAGAAAAAAGCAACATTTCCAGTGGAGTGTCAACGTACGTGTTGTTCCTACTCCTTGCCTTGCTTTGCCTTCTCCGGAACGATAGATGGGCAGGACAGTGATGTCGTAGGTGGTGAGGGGGGTGAGCTGTCTCAGCACAGTCACAGTGGTGCCACCTCTTACTTTGCTCGCGAGCTGGCGTCCACCTGACTGCGGTTTGTAGGTAACGCGATAGTTGAGCACATTTCCAGGTGCCGGCTGCCATGTCACCTTCATGCTCTTCTCCGTCTCGTCCGAGACCACAATTACCCTGCCAGCGGCAGAGACTGCAAAGAAGGGAGAAAAGGACAGATTTCAGAGAGGAGAAATGATGAATGAAAGGTTTTGAGCGAAAATGCAGACTTTGGGCTTTGTTCAAATTGGAGTGTGTGCTAAATTTAAACTAAACCACCCATGTTTCCAATATACCTTTGAAATGATATACAGCAACGCTTTCCTGCTGGCAAGAAACGTAAACAGTAACACGCTTGACTACTTTGCAGACTTTCATCTGAATATCTGCTCAGTTTCCATATGCGTGTGAATAACAGCTACTAAAAAACTTCAGATTTCCAGAAGTATATATCAAAGAGGCACCAAATTACATGATTGATCGTGTTTAGCCAGTGGTTTTGAGAATGAGATTTAGATGTCTTTAGCAAACCCTCGGTTCCCTTTTTCCACTGTGTGTCTTTTGAATGCGTTTCTCAGAGCAAAAAGGGCAAGTGAGAATTGAAAAATAAGTTTCAAAATGAGACAAGTATTCAGAATGCTCTACTTCAGAGGGAGGACTTTTATTAACGGAAAATAGCAGCAATTCCAAGTCTGCCGTGTGCAGCTCGGCCCGGAGAGACCCGTGATTTATGTAAGCACAAAAGAAGAAAGCAACAGATAGCAGTGCAAAGTGAAGGGTTACTGAAGGTAACATTTTGGCTGATAAAAAGCTGCCTTATTATTGAATGTGGTGTCTGTTTTACATCTGAAGCTTGCCAGAATCAATAAACACTAATGATGGTTGGAAATAATTTTCCTTAAGCACATTCCATCACACAAACTGGTGAACAAATCCCTCCCAACTGGGGCAAAGTTTCCATTCAGTGTGCTTTTCTCATCCATGCATGAGTTTTAGTCTAAAGAGAGAAAGGCCAGTGTCTCTGTTCTGTATCTCCCATGAAAACTCAGTACAGGTGTCTGGGACATTACGTCACCTCCACTCACATATATAACATACGATGTAAAGCTGCCATGTTCTTTATGGCAGCCATGACGTTATCAGCGGAAATAACTGAACAAAAAGGGACCCTACTTCTGCAGAAAAAGAATTGTAGTTTTAGCGGAGAAATGTTTGATTGGAGATGATCTAAATCTCTCTGGGCTCATAGATTTAAAATGAACATGAGGGAAACAGACAAGGAGGAGAACAAATACCAAAAAACATGTATTTGAAAAATACATACCATCTGTGGTTTCCTCTCCAACTAATGGCTGTCCTTCTCCATGGCCATAGCCAGCAAACACAGACACCTGGTAACGTGTCTCTGGGGTGAGACCGTCCAGAACTGTAGTGGTGGTGTCCCCTGGTATTGTCTTTTCCCCGGCCTCATCGCTGAACTGAGATTTCCATTTAATCCGATACTGTCGGACGTTACCCGGAGCAGCAGTCCAGGATACCCCAAAACTAGTGTCAGTGACGTCTTTGGTCACCAAGTCTCTGGGAGAACCAAGCTCTGTGGGTAAAGAAAAGGGGACTTTAAAACACAAAGTCATAGCCTGTTAACTTAAATGCTTTTCCCAGGATTTTCCATGCCATTGTGGACTGGGGCAGTTTGTAATCAGGTATGAAATGTTTAAGGCCTTTTCGGCCAAGCCAATTGTCTTGCCTAGTTGGTATTGATTCCCAATGTAGATATGTGGAGATTATGATTCATTTGCCTCTGCTTTAACCCCTCAAGATCTGATTAAGCAGCCTGATTTTCTGTCAGACTCTTGCAAAAAAAAAAAAGAAATTCTGCTAAACTAATCACAAATCACATGTCCTCAGCACCTCTCCAAGCAACACTTTACTTTTCCATTGGAACAGTGGAAACCAGATCCACAAAAGTGTGTTTTTTACAGCTACAGATGTTGCACTCTTCTCTTCTTCCCTTGACTCACTTTTCCAAAGGGACCTTTGTGAAAGAAGAACAACGAGGAAAAGCAGAGGGGGGAGTTTTGTGGTGGTGTTTCATGATGGCTGGCCAGCATATGCTTGGCTGGGAGGGATACCCACATTGAGGTGGACTCTGCTGTCTGTTCGTCATATAGTGCTGAATCTACCACTCCAGTTTGGGCTGCCATACGTGGCCTCCCACACAACCTCTGGAATCCTGGTCCTCATTCATGCTCTCCTGAATCCCAGCACACCAAGAGCTAATGACAATTTAATCATGTACATGGCAAAGCCTTGCAGCAGGGTGGTCTCACTCAAACCTCATTTTTCAAATACAACCCGCTTTTTTCCAAAGAAAATAGTCATAAAATCATATCCAGTACAAGTGCTTTACCAATTACATATATAATGAGCCTGGAATTTTAAAGTCAAAGGATAGTAAATGTTTCAACTGGGTCTTCCTATGAGTCTTTCTCGGATACTATCCCTAAGAGACAGCAGCAGTTAACCAAGCAGAGGGATCTACAGCTTTTTACCAGAGGCCACCAATGAAGAGTAATGGCCACAAACTAATAAAGAGTTCCAAGTTTTGGAAAGCCATGAAAACAGCCCGGGTTACACACAAATACCCCGATCGTCCCATCAAAAGATTTATCTTTGCAAGGCAGAAAGAAGCGGATGAACTTGACTGACTTTTCCGGCCATGCGTGAACCGTGGGGTGAAAAGAGCCCGAGATAATGACTTCTGCAGACGGCGGCTCACTTTCCATCAGTACTCGCAGACAAGCTGCAGGGAGGGGGGCCGCTCCATAAGCCAAGGCACGCATACATGGAACACATGGTCCACAGACGTGCAAAAGCTTCACAGCCAAGCAGTAAATATTCATTCATTATTTGTCATTTTTCAGTTGTGTCTGTTTACAAAAGCATGTTTACATCTTGTTTAATTGTTTACAGCTGTCATCAAAAGGCTTCTAATATCTATCACCCCTCACATTTGATGGAGATTAAGGAGGTCCCGTCTCGTACACATGAAAGCCTCAACCATGTCTCTAATAAAGTACGCATGAGACAACTGAATATAATTCTCTACTGGGCATGTGCTGGAATTGACTTCACATCTTCAGCCAAAGAAAACGGAGGTGCCAACAGGGAGGAGAAGGGGCACACAAAGCTATACCATTTTACCAGCAATGTTCTGATATTGAAGCATACTGTTTTCTACCAGCCTTTGTTCACAGTGTTCCTCTCAGTGGAAACACTGCGAAACTGCTCACTTGAGCACATCGCTCCATTTCTGTCCAACAACCTTACTTCAAACTTCATGTCTGTGAGCTAAAATGAGCTCTTTGGCTTCTGAAGATTTATTTTTCCATGGCCTCCTCAATCAATACCACTTGAGTGAATAACAACACCTGGTGCTGTTTCAAAGCTAGAAAAACCATCAGCGTAGGAGTAAATCCAACCATTATACTTCATTTTAACCTTATTTAGAGATAGTAAAGACAACCTGGGTTCTTCTTGCAGTTTGAAATATCATGTGAGTCGTTGAGCACTTAGCAAAGTGAGAAGGACTGCGGCACCTTGACTTGAACATGAGTCCACTTCATTATGGGATAAGCTTTTGATTCACCAGAAAGCCCCAAAGCTTTGCAGTTCACATTCTGAAGTACCATTCTTTCCTCTCATCCTCCCCCTCTGCCTTTGCCTCTGCCTGTTCTTTGCCCCACCCTTGAGGAGGACAGACAGCCTTCAAAGGTACTCTTAGGTAACTTCTTCCACATGCCGAATAAAACTCCCTCCTCTTAAGTAAATACTTTCCTTATGTTTGTGTAATATGCACATTTGGGATGTTCATCTAAGCATTCCCTGGGACACCTTCTCTGTCCTCCTGAAGAGTAAAGGTTTCTTTGTTGGCTAGCATCCCCGTGAGCCACAAGGGAGGCTTTTGTCCGAGACAGTCTCTTTCAATTCTTGCACACAAGGACTCGACAGAATGGGTCACACAAAAACAGTGACACTCACAACAATGAGGTCATTGTTGTGGCATGTCCACATCATAACAGCTGTACAGAGATGGAGCATTTTCCTGAGGGGGTGTGTGACAGACGACAGCAAAGATTTGACCTGTAGAAACCTATTCTCTAATCGAATCAGGGCTGTTTGGGAATAAGAGGAAAATGCTTCAACTTTGGTTGTGACCCAGGTTTTTAAAATATGTGTATATTTTAAAATATGAATACATTACTTTCTGATCAGTAATACCTTCTTAACTAAATGCCGACCAGCAGCACAAGAAAAATGCAACATTTAAGGCCAAAAAAGCCCACTTTACAAATCACATTCAACAGAATTTCTTTCATATGTGTATGGGTCCAAACTGATTTCAGAGAGGGGTCCAGTTTAGTCAAAGCAAAGTTTGGACATGATTAAGGACTGTCTCTAGGCTCTTTTTAATATTTCCACACAAAAAACATGAATGAAACACAGATTAACATTTTCCTGTAACTGCAAAGTCAGTATCTGATTTTTAAGCACCCAAAGAAAGAACACATAATCAAAAACAGTCAAGTCTGAACTATTTTTTTCTTTGCTCCTTCCTGGGCAGAAAATAAAATCTGCCTTACAACAAGTATTGCCTCCATCTGTATGCCAAGAATAGGATTTGTTATATATCCATATTCTGAGGCTAATATAGAGCATTTACTCCAACAACTATAGGCAACGTTATGTCCTTGTAACTATATAAAAAATAAAACTTAAAATTGTATTCAGTTTACTGGGTGTGAATGCAAGGTGGGATCAACCAAAAACATCAGTGGCATTCCATCTGCCAGACAAGGACACTTTGTTGTTGACCACCCAGATCTTACCCCCTCTCTCCTCTCTCTTTGACTGACTTTCCTGTGATGTGAAACAGCAATATTTCTGTACTTTCCGAAATCAACAGGACCAGCCCTTTGTGGTGTGTCCTACCATGGAGCCTACAGCTGGCCCACAGCTGCTGATTGCTGACTTATGTAAGACGAGTTAAACCCGGAGCCAGTGACTGGCAGCTGTTATCTAAAGATAATGCCAAAAATCATCTTGGATTGACAACAAAACATCCCCAAATTATCATAAAAATCACTATAAAGCAATAATTTATAAGTCCCTGACAGGCCATGATGTAAAGGCATTACTCTATAGGCATGTGGTTTTCAACATTTTGGAGGTTTACAAGCGTTCCACACCCATTTCCATCCCACTGCCTCTGGGCGGCAAACCTACCCAAACAGATTGTTTGTGCTAAATGTATTAAGTTCCATATTCTCTTCTCTCTTCACCAGCTTCAACTCAGTTATTTAGCCATTCGTGCAAAGTTAAATCACAGCTTTGAAATTTTGATGTGGAAACCATTGCCGAACGCATTGAAAAGTTGGATATACGAGACACGTTTTTACAAAGGAGCAGAACCATTTCTCAGAAGTGAGCGACTTTTACTCTTCATGCTGTATCCTCGTTGATGCCACGCATGGCAGAAGTACAGAAATTATGCAGTGAAAAGATTTCAAACAGGACTTTAGCTGTTTTCTTACCTTCCAAAGTGGTTCCTGTACCGAGAAGAGGATCACCCAGCCCGGACGAATAGCGTGCAGAAACAAAAAGCTCATATTCAGTGCCTGGTTTGAGGTTCTTGAGCGTAGCCTCTGTGAGTACTCCCTTGACAGATATCTCCTTCCTTTCGCCTCCTTCAGCAGGCTTAAAGGCAATGCGGTACTGAAGAACATTTCCTGGAGCAGCCTTCCATGCAAGTTTCATTGTGGATATAGTCTCATCAAAGACTCGAAGGTCACGAGGAGAACCACGAACTGAAAGTATACAAGAATGGCTTAGAAAAATAAATCTTACTCATCAAACACAACATTTTCTAATGGCAAATAGTTTCCTGTCTCACCTTCCTTGGTGGTACCGTCCACCTGCATCTCATCCCCTGTGCCAGTGGCGTACTCAGCAGACACGGACACACGGTAGGTGGTAATGGGAAAGAGCTCCTGCAGAACTATAGTGGTCTCTGCTCCAATGGTTTGGGCCTCCAGAATTTCTCCTGTGCCACTTAGCGGCACATAGGACAGGCGGTACCTGATAACTGAACCTGGAGCAGCTTGCCATGAAACCCTGAAGCTGTTTGTCGTTTCCTCTGTGACTCGAAGATTTCGCACAGCCCCTTGTTCTGAAAGGGCGAGAGTATAATGAATGCCAATGCCTCTCTATGCTCAATCAGGTTGCATCAAATTTAGTCAGTCTCTTACCTTCGAGAGTGGTTTCTTCGCCGGTCAAAGGGAAACTGTCTCCTTTTTCATACTGAGCATAGACGTTCACTTCATAGGCAGTGAGGGGAAAAAGGTGGGGGAGAACGGCTGTGGTGGTATCTCCAGCCACTGCCAAGGAAACGTAGTCTCCAGTGATGTCTTCAGCCTTGCGAAAACGCACCAGGTACGACATAACACTGGCAGCAGGGGCTGTCCAAGTGGTCCGGAAGCTTCGCGAGGTGATCTCAGAGAAAACCAAATCTCTCGGTGGAAGAAGATCTGAAGATTGAAAGATTACCTTTTGAGAAAGTCTGTTTTCAAACACCCGTGCGCAAGCTCAAATAAAGGCGATATTTTTAGCACCATACACATCTCTCTAGTATTTGACTTACTCCTCTTTTTTATTTTCAGCAGCTCCTGTTCGATCCTCAGGCAGATTGACTGAGTCAGCTCCTTAGAAATCCTCTGGAACGCATCGAAGTCTTCCACCTCATAGACATGGGTATCTGCTGGTGGATTAGCAATGGCTTCCAGCTCTGATCTCACAGCATCTTTAACACCAACAGCAAAGATCTCCACATCGACATTCCTCAAGTTGGTGGCGGCGTCCTTGAACGAGTCCGAAGACTTCCCATCGGTGATCAGGACCATAACGCGGGGGACATTCTCTCTCGCTCCTCGAGCTTGGATGAAGATCTTCTCCCTGACATAAGTCATAGCCTTTCCTGTGTTTGTGGAACCACCACGGTAGGGGAAGGTGCGCACAGCTTTGACGACAGTATTAATGTCGTGGTGGGTGTTGAGGGCAAACTCAGTGTGTGGATCACGGCTGTACTGGACCAAGCTAATCTGGACTTTGTTGGCTCCGATGTCGAAGGAGTTGACCAAAACCTCCAGGAAGGCGCGGACTTTGGCAAAATTTTGTAATCCAATACTGTATGAGCCATCAACCAGTAGGACTACATCAGCCTGCACATCCACTCCCAGAGAGCACTCTTGAGAAAGACAGGAGACCATAGGTTACTCTAAAATGAAACATTGCTGACAGTGAATCCCAAAGATGGCAGATGTAGTAGATGAGAAAGAGAATGCATCAAACCTGTTGAAACCTTCACAGGCTGGGTCTTTGCCAGGTCCAAGATGGGTTCACTTGGAGTCAGACCTTTGAGAGCAAACAAGCTGATCTCATACTCAGTCTCGGGGGAAAGGTCCCGCACGTTGATGGATGTCTGCGTCGGCCCCATGTACAGCTCTTGGCGCTTCATTCCAGGCACCATAGGAATAAGGGTGAGCTTGTAACCTGTGATTTCACCCAGGGATGGATCCCACATCACCCTCATTGACTTCGATGCAATTTCTGTAACTTGCAAGTTGTGGGCAGGCTCCACCACTGAAGTAAAGAGCAAAATAACAGAAGAATTCAGACTCAGATGATGGTAGCAGGTGGAAATTTCCACTTCAAAATGTACGATGGATTAACTTTAGCAGGACTTACTTTCTTCGCCGCTCACAAGGGAGCTGAGCTGCTCATCGACACCAGAGCATACTTCTGTGATGATCTTTTTCTGTACCTCTTGGATCAGGTCAAAGTTGGGCACATTGTACACATGTTTGCTGTGAGGTGTGGAGGCAATTTCCCTGAGCTCATCCTCATCTGCTCCTTTGATACCTGAGTGGAAAAATGTATGACACCAATAACTCATGTGTTCTTACTGTCTGCTTTGCAGATGTGATGAAACACTGGCAGTTTGGGAGTGTTGCTTTATATTACAAAAAAAAAAATAACATTATTTGACTTTTTTCTGAGGCAAATACGAATCTTAAGATGAAAAATCAATGGAAAAGCAAACGAGTTCCAAGAACAGACAGACATTCACATGGGAGAGCACGACCGAACAAAACACTGATTAATAAACCATACCTAGAACAAATATTTCCACTCCAATGTTCCTAAGTCTTTTAGCATACTCCTCCACTGGGTCCTGGGATTTTCCATCAGTGATGATCATGGCTACCTTTGGAAAACCTTTCCTTGATCCAGCTGCCTCAGTGAAGATGTTTTTCAGAAGGAAATCTATGGCGTCACCTTAAAAAAAAAAGAAGCGTCAGTGTATATCTAAATATTTTTCATCTGTACATCTATAAGTTGAAAACTAACAGACATTCCAACTTAGCAGCTATACGTAGCTGAAAAGCAGCTTACCAGTCATGGTATTCCCTCCTTTGTACGGCAGTGAGTTGATGGCTTGGAGCAGGTCACCTCTTCTGGTGTAAGTGGTGAGGGGGAACTCTGTGCGCGTGTCCGTGCTGTACTGAACCACAGCCACTCGGGTCTTGTCTTCACCAATGTCAAAGGCCCCAGCTAGCGCAGCGATGAAACTGCGGATGTGTTGGAAGTTTTCTCGGCCCACACTCCACGACCCGTCCACCAGAAAAACCAAGTCTGCTATTGCACTGACAGAACACTCTGGAGAGACACGGTGCAGACATATGGCAGTCAGTCAAAAGAGTTATCTAACACAGATTGACTGGTATATTAGACAGATTTTTTAAAAACTGTTAAACTTGTGGTAAATGATGGGTGTAAAGAGCCAAAATAGAGAAAACCGCATCCTTTGTGTCCACAAATTCACAAAAGTGCCAATAAAGGTATTGCAGCAGTTTGGTCTTGGAATAATATGTTACTCTGGCTCATTTCTTATGAATGTCTAAATAAAATCACATTCTTGACAGTTATTTGGATGGCTCAGTGATGCATTCAGACATCAAAGGAAACATCAGTCGATGCCAGACAGTGGGCTGGTATAGTTTTTCCAACAGACGGAGGCAAAATGTGGTTTAATAGACTAAACATTCAGTGGAGGTTCCACCAGTGATGATCATTTTTCTACTTTAAAATCCACAGGGCTTTAAATCATAAAAGAAATTTTCTGGAACACTGACAATGACTCTATTGAAAAAATTGGCAGGACTTATGTGGATGGACTTTAATCCTCATTCCCACTGGTCTCATTGACTCTTAATTCCATTTCCAATATCACATTAGCCACATTCTCAATGGGACCTTTCTGGTCTTTCTGAGTAATTGTGAAAGACATTTTACACACTTTAGGGTTCAAAGAACATGAACATGGCTTACACTTTTTGATAAGCATGCCGGGGAAAACCATTGTCATATCTCTCACTACAGATTTACAGCTCGCTGTCATTTTAACAGGTGATGTCTGAGTAAGATCCTCTCTGTGGCACATTAAATACTTCATTGGTTAACAACCACCTGCACCTCATCAGTTGTTTCCCAGCTTCAAAGCTTCATTTCCTATTTTCTTAATGAGCCCAATGGTTTCAATTAAACTAACAAATGAAACAAATCTGCCTTCCCAGTCAGTTTAAAAAGGCTGCCTGTCTACCCTGTGGCTAAATAGGGATCACGATGACACAAACGCAATCTGAAAGCTGTGTGGAAGGCCTTTCCTGTTCAGTTTTGGGTCGACCCTCCTCTAAGCATACTCACTGATTGCATCTGATTGCGGCCTCCTGACTCGTCCGCTGCTGTTACTGGACTGGACTGAAAAGAAGGAAACACTTGGTGAGTTAGCACCGCACACTGCCACCCTTCGATTCACCGCATACTTTTTCACAAGGGAAAACGGCAAGAAAATCAACACATCATAAAAGCTGCTCCACGGGATCAAAAACACATGCGCACAGACACACAGTGTTGTGGTCATCATGAACAGTGAACAACACTGGAAAGCAAACAGATGGGATTTCTTGCTACTTTCTGATCGTCTCTGTGGCTAAATGTGACGGTATTCCTTAAATTTTTCACATTTCTCTGCTTGCTGTTACCAGCAACTCAACAATCTTAAGACACTTTCTAAAATTATGCATATGGCTTAAAACATCAAAATCATGGAGATAACCCTTTAGAAAAACAATGGCATGTACTTACTAGTCAATTGGCCAAATATGGGGATGCTCTCCTCTGAACCAACATAGGAGTTTATTGATACAGAGTAGTCCAAGTCAGGTGTCAGATTGGTGATTGAGGTTGTAGTAGTGTATGCATCGAGATTAAAATCCCTAACAGGTTCATCTAGGGAGATGGACAAAAGCATTTACGACATTGTTAAGAAACGCTGCATGTTTAAACTGTTTGAGAGTGCGTTGGTAGCTTGAGTGCTGCAGTTATACTTACCTGCATCTGACACAACTTGTATTCTGAAGCCATCTATCCTCGCCGAGGGTCTTACCCATGTCATATCCACTGTGTTCTCATTTAGAATTTTAAATTTTAAGTCTGAGGGTGGTTCCACTGCAAACAAGACATGAAACACTGTTAAATCGCAACGAACAAAACCATTGTGTATCCATGTGGTTTCAACTTTAATCAAATAAAAACAAGTCACATTTGATCAAGCATTCACATTAATCCCAACAACAAACACTTCAGGACTGAAGTGGACTTGTTCGTTGTTGGTGGAAGACACACAGCACTGACGTCCATTTGTGAGGGTGAAGGAACACGTGACAACATTGAAAAAGTGTGAGAAGCCATTTTGAATCAAAATGGCACTTGTTTGAGTTGCCCAACCAAGATGGCCAGCAACTCAAGCACTGGCATACACATCAGGTGCACAACTCCACGCAAACTCTACCAAAGAGCAAACACTGAGTGAACCATCCAACACATGCTAAGTGCAGTCGTTACATGGCATGCCCCGTCTAGGAACTAAACTCCTTCATGTTGGAATTGAGCTCAGTACAAAAACACAACAGTGATTTCATTCACAAGTTACTGATTATACAATGGAATAAAAGTTGCCATATAGTTATTAAGGTAACTCTTGACAGAACTGAACACCATATGTTGTATATACATTGTATATAAACATATTTCAGAGACAAAAAAAAATGGTTTGTTGTTTATTTGGTTAAGACACTTTGCACAAGTGAGTGGCACACATCCATTGCAAACCTTTTAAAAAGAATACACAATTCGTCACCGGAGACTCTTGTGTACTTTTTCACTGGCAGAATAATGCAGTAGAAGGCGTGAGAAAACAAGACTTCTTCAGACAATCAGATGTTCGATCACAGAGAAAGGATGTACACTGACTGAATACGTGACCACACGCCATTACATTCAGCTGACTGGATCACGGCATCATGCATCATGTACATGAGAAAGTTGTTTTGACTCAACAACTTTGACTGACTGGACAATAAATAGTTTTCCATGTACAGTTGGGACCACACAGACAGAGATGACAACCGTATTTTAAAATGATATTCTGTCTTGGATGTGTTTGGTAGAGAGTGAAGGAAATGGACAATGTTAAGATGAGTGTCACTTGCATGCAAGTTTTGGAGTTTCTTCTTGGTATAAGTATTAGATGATAACTTGTAAAATAATTCTCAAGTTAGGCTACTCTTAAGTAATCCAACTATCAGATTTACATGTTACATGCTGTTTTAAAAAGTCATATTAGACATGTGCGATAAAGTACTTGAGTGAAACTAATTGTGTGTGGAAAATCCAAAATATTAGTCATGTTAGCACGGGATAGTAGCATAATCTGATTTTCCTTGTAGCGCTCATCATGTAGTGCTTGAAAAGTAGGTGAGCATGCAAAGATGTAAAGGCATCAGCAAAGAGCTGTACTGCCTGGGTGAGAGGGAGGCCAGAATATCATTATAAAATACACTATGAGGAGGAAGCCATAGCTTGGGACACACTGAGTGCACAGGCAGATGACAAACAGGAGCCTGCCAAATACTTAAAAACTTGGATTGGAGGATCACCAACCTGGCATTTCAACTCAAGGAGCCCCGATGGGCTGTGTTCTCCCGCATTTCTTCATGTATTCATCTCCAACACCAAGTGAGGGTATTGAAGTGTGTGTTGGTTTGGATGAGTAGGGGGGGGGGGGGGGGGTCATGGGTAGCAAAGCAAATGATGATCGATCGGAAAATTCAAGGGAAAATTGTTTTCGGTGGCTCTTCGGCTGTACGACGCACCGGACACTCCCACCTTTGTTCGAGATGGCTTGAGCGCATTGTTGAGTTTGACGGAATCTCTTAACCAAATGTGCTTCTGGTTTTACAATATACACGAAGAACAAATGTGGTTTTGTCAATGTAACAATCTCTGACATGTTATTTGGAGCTTGTGGTTGCTGTGGTAATATAGAGGTCTGTCCCCTCAGCTCCTAAGAAAGCACACCTCTGGCTCACAGGAGCCACGGTCTGCCTACTGCTGTTTTACCTCCGTCTCCATCCATCCAGCCAATAATCCTGCCCTGAGCCATGGCCAGGAGGAGAGACCAAGAGAAGGAGGAAAGAACACCAACTCTCCCCAAAGAGGCAGGACGGATGCCAAAGTAATTCCGCAACATGTGCTGACATTAAACATTACTGCATATTAACTTTCCATATGTCTTGCAACTCAGCGTTTTTGTGAACGGCCGCAAAGACTCCGAGAAAGGCTCTTTGTCTTTGCTCTGTCTGAGGATTAATTTGCTACTCTCATATTTCATCTTTCCATTCCATTAGTGGAGATATGCGAGAGTAGACTCTTCTCACCACGCAAGCGCACTCTCAAAGGAAAAGAAAATCACAAGGCTGCCACACCATTTTTCCATATTTGCTATTATTTTGGACCGAAACGGTTGCATAAGCGAGTCATTTTCTGCTAAAAGCACAGCTTTTACTACAGACTGTTAATTGCCTATAACATCTCTACGGCTTTAATTGTTATTTAAAAAGTCATGCTTCAAATCAAGTTCAAATTTGGAAAGAAAAAATTTCCGATTGCGTTTTTAATCAGTCTTTAGAATTCCAACCCACAAAATGCCTGCATCCCTACCACAATCTACGAATAGGGCAGCATTTCTGAATGGGTATTTTCACATTAAGCAGGTTTAAATTGATAAATCACACATTTTTCTCAACTTAATTTACACATTTCACATTTTCTTGGAACTTTAACTTTGTTGAAATTAGTGCACTACTTTTACTGGATTAACCTTTTTTTAAAAAACACCTGAGGTGAAAATTTTCGATGGATTCTGAGAACTTGAACACATTCATGAAAAAAAGGAATTTGTGCTTTTCCTATTTTACAAGAGAAACTGCCATCATAAAACTGAAACGGCAGCAACCCTCTTTAGACTTTTAAAAGGAAACATTAGGTATGTTATAATTCTGTTTTACTTTTGGAAGGACCCAGCTGCTTAATGCATTTAGTCACAAATTATAAGAGAAACTGCTTCAGTGGTCTTTGCTCCATAAATCTGCCAAATCTGAATGAGAAAATTGCTCCTTCCGTACTTGTTTAAAACAACTAGAATTCCACCTACACATAAGAAAATAGTATTTTGATTTCATACCAAAGGCCCTAATAAGCTTTGGTACACCAACCAAATCAAATGTACTTCAGATGACAGTTAAAATGCTGACAGTCATTAGGATTTACTCACATGGTTTAACAGCATACACGTGACATAAGAACAACTTTATTCAGTTTATAAGGACAAACAATGTTCCAGCGGGATAACTCTCTGACATTAAAGTCATAAACTATATCCTGTAACATGAATAACCATCGGAGATATAGGATAGAGGAAGAAAGGGGGTAGAGAAAGGGACAGGGTAGTATAGTTTATGTAAGAGTATGAGGCCAGGTGGTTTCATTTACCTTGAGCATCTACTGAGGACAGCAGGGCTGCAAAGAAAGCAGCCGTGGCCAGTGACAGCCTTATCTTCATGTTTCACCCTGAAGGATCAGCAGCGCATGAATCAGTCTGAGGACCAAGAGAGAAAACGATAAAGCGTTTGATCTGCGGACCAGGTCCTCAGAGAGGGACAAAGTTAAGTTACTGCTAGAAGTGATCAGAGGAATGGCAGTGACCCAGTTAGTACCGACACCTCGGATTCTTTCAAATTGATGGATTGAAATTCCACCCTAGCAAAAAGAGAACGAAAGCTGCGATATCTGTGTTCACAGAGGGCCACACCTTGCACCTTTTTACCACCCATACCCTGAGGTACATAATTAGCAGTGAAGGACACCCCGTACATATTCAGTACTCGATACGTGTTTCATCTGGTTTGATTTTCATAAGGCAAACAATGAAAAACCCATTGGTTTTTTGTGGTTGCTTTAATCATTTTGGTGATTCACTGTGCAGATCACCACATGCAGCACCAGCTTACCTGCGACTCCCGCTTAGATAAGCCTCACAGGGATGAATCTGGGTAGACTATCCAGAAACTAACTTCATGATAAGTGCCAAATAAAATGTATCAGTAACAGTAAGCTATGTTGGTTCACCTAATCAATTTGTTGTTTGTTCAATATATACTTTTCAATTGCAATCATGGAACTTGTTCTTCAATCCTCTTTTATCACTTTACATGGAGCCTATAAAGCTCACAGGACAATGCGTTCCTAGTTTTTTCAACATAACTTTTTTCCTGCAAATTTCTGGCATTAAACTCACTTCATCCACATATTAATCTACAACAGAGCTTCTGCCACCTCATGCACAGCCTGTGCGCCCCGCCTGGCGCACAGATGACCACACTGCAGCCGGTTTGAATCCCTTGGCCCCTCGGACACAAGGGACTCATCTGACCTGCATTATGAGATTAAGCATAAATCCTAAAAGATAGACTCTACCTCCCCTGCTGAAGCGCTGCTTCATGTTTTCTTCTCTCCATATACTGCATTTTCATCTAGTTTATTTGACACAACAAAATGGAGAATTTGGAAATAAAAATCAAATCTTTTCGCCTGCTCTTATTTCGTTCTTCCAACCAAGTCACAATATCGAGGCACAATGATAAAAACTTCCCACAGCAATGGGGAAAAAAAGAGAAAATAAAGAAAGATATTCCCGAAGATTGTGAAAAAGCGCTTATCCATCCTAAATGTCTCTGTAAGTTCTTTGCTTTAAAATAAAAGAATGACTACTTACCTATTAAAGCCCCCCCAAAAAGTGACCTAATTGTGAGCAGCCTGCTGTAAGCCTCCCCCTGTGAGAAGTGAGACACAGTCAGGAGTTGCGGCTGGACCCTTTCTCCTGTGTCAGGCTACTGGAGGCTCCGCCAGCAGATGTCCAAGAAGGAAAAGCCTCTTTCCAAGTGGGAAGAATCTTTCCACCATCGACTACTTAACAGGAGGGGGGGGGGCTTCTTGCATATGGGCTTCTTGCGAAAGCTCTGCCTCTCTACTTGATATATGTCCCCCGCTAAGACCGATCCCGGGTTTGGAAATGACATTTTTCCTGCATTCCTTTGGTCTGCCAATTTAATGAGTCTCAAGCCAATGTGACTTCACAGCAGTTGGCCAGACAACTCAGAGGGGAAGCGTTTTATTTGCGCAACAGGAAACATCATCCAGTTTATTAACTTTCAAAAATACTATTTCTCTTCTGTACCACAAAGTGTCTTACATTTATGGTGGAGTAGAATGGTCTAGTTTCAATCCCAAAAGATGTTAGAGGAAACATGAGCAGGATAGTCAGCTCCCCATCTTCCACGGTTTGACCGTTTTTTAGAATATGTAGAAAATACAGAAACGCACGCTTCGTTGAGAATAAAGTTTTTTAGCAGCTGCTCAAACTGTTTCTCACATCGACTGAGACACCAATTTACAGGTCAGTGGCGCCCTCCAGTGGTCAAAGTGGAGAATTTAACTATGGATTCACCAAAATGACCTAAACCCAATTCAGAGAGTCCCCACCCTCCACGTCTACTGCTCCCATCCAACCTCAGCCCCCCGTCACGTCTCCTGTCCACACTCCGACTCCTTCATATTCTTTTAGTGGCAGGTGGTCATAATCTTAAGGATCCTTATAAAATATGTGGGGGGAAAATACAACATTTGGTTCAGGAATCAAACTTTAGACATGACTGCACATTTATTCATTTCATTCTTATTGGCAGCTCATGATTTGTACAATCATAAATATTGATTTCAAACATGAAATTATATTGAAATCTGCACAACAGAGACTCAATGCATCACATACAACATGTGCATAGTTTTTGTCATAATATATCTAAATATATATATAAACTGCACAGCGGGCCGGTCCTGTTTCACTTTGCCTTCTTGGGCATTGCAGCAGTAAACAGCTCGTAGACAACATATGCGCTGCCTGTGAACAGATCAAACACAAGTCAGACACACAATCATGATGCAACACAACGTTTAATCTGGATTTCAATCAAACCTTGAAGGTGTGTTCAAAATGTCAAAACTTTTCTTTAACTAGACTGAGGGCAAGCCACGGGAACAACGTGCATTTTATAATCAAAAGCTAGACTAAGACATTTGAATGCAGCCTGACACATCAAATTTCAGAGCAAAGCTGGCATACCAAACACAGTGAGAGTCATTGTGGCTCTGTAGAGCAGAGCGTCCTTTGACCCGCCCTTCAGATGAATGGGCATACCGTTATCCTCCTGTTCAAGGAGAGAAGAATGGAGGCATTTTACCGTTTGAAAAGATGACAGTGCACATGTCTCACGTTTTAAACAATCAACTCTTGCTTCCCAACAAGATTTAGTTGTCAGGTCAGGAGTTAATCTCCAGTTAACCGCAACGAATAAGCCAGGACGCGCGGCGCACTCTGCAATAAATCAGTGCTCCATTCAGCAAAAGAATGGCTGTGGTCAGTCTACAGCTGAGGCTCCAGCTAAACGTCCTCTGCTGTGATGCAGTATCAGTGAAGCCGCCACACTGGAACGGTAATTCTGTTATGAATCCTAAAGCATAATTAGTGCAACTCAAACCCCAGCTGAAAGCCTTATACTGGTACATATTTAAAGGGGAACCTCACAGATACTTATCTGTCATGCTAAAAAAAAAGGATAATACTAGATTCGGTCCCGAGAACCTGTGAATAAAATAGAAACCTTCATATTTTCATGTGAAAATGCTTTCAGAATCATCAGTATAACAGATACATGAGGTTTAGCCAATGATTTAAGGAAATCTCGAGAGCCTTCTGATAACATACTCCCCTCAAAATTGATGAAGCCGAAGTTCAGAGAAAAATATTCAACCTGATATCCGACAGCTTTTAGCTTGTAGATTGAATCATACGTACAACCCCAGTCCTCAAAGGGATCTCAGCTTACCTGAAAGAGCTTTTGCTTTTCCTTCACAGTGTTATCAAGCTGTCTGCGGGCCGTAGTGCTCACGGTCCGCCTGGAGAGCTGCCGAAGACCCTGCTCACACATAGTCAGGATTTTATTGATTTTATGTGAAACCAGAGTGTTTGCAGATGATAATCAGTAATGAAATGATTTGAAAAATAAACTTTTTTTAAAGTTCCTTGCTGCCACAGACTGAGATACAGTACAGGACGGTGACACCTGCTGGACAAATATGTGAATTGCAGTGAAGAGAATTTATTATCAATTGATTGTTTATTAGGTTATTGACATTTGCTAATTACAAAACAGGGTGCTTTGGCAACTTTGTTGCCACCTAGATGAGACCACACTGGTCCATCTTCAGATCAAAAGAAAATACACAGTTGAACCTGCCAGAAAAAAAAGACATTTCATTGCATGGATTTAAACAGCTCGATCATTTCAGATTGGACTTCCAAACCTAAAATGAAAACTCTTAGATTGGTAATACTTGAAAAGACTGGCAGACCACCAGGGCTCCCAAAGCTGGATATAGAAAATGGATGGATAGAAGAGTCTGGACAGGTTATTATTGTGTGCAAAGAGCAACTGTTGAGCCACAGTTTTTGCACAGGACAATTTAATTAATCTAGATTACACTGTCTGATATATGCTACAAATTTCAGACTCAGACAAAAACTCTAAATAATATTTTTTTTCCATATGTTGTAGGAGAACATATCTTCTCTATAACAGTTGAAGAAAAAAGGGGTTCTTTGTAACAATGCAGTTAATCGATCAATATAAATCAGGTTGTAAAGTGGTTTTAATTTAGGAGAAACCAGTATATTGATTAACCTTCCAAAGGTCAGAGCGTGCCCGACGTCACCAAGACTTCTACGTAAAGTGTCGTAGAGTACCGGGTAGAGTCCCGTAACTCACACACCTGTTCTCATCCCCCAACACGAGAAAAAAATAAGTAAAGCACACGAACTTTGTCTGATTTAAAAGCATTATTTCTCTTTCCTCAACATATATCGCCGGTAGGCTCAGTTTGAACACTTAGCTTGAGACCGTTACTCGGAGCGAAGTGTTAGCATGGCGAAAGTTTTAAATTAAATGTTTTCTTAAAAACCTAAAAGTGAGTTAGACAGATATAACAAGATTAGTTTCTCTCTTACCATAAGTTGTCTGTACATTTTGGCAAACGTTTAGCTTTATGTAAAGGTACAACACAAGGACGGACACTGTCAGGCTGACTTCCCACAATCCTTTGGTGAGTGTGTAACTTCCGGTCGCGCGGGACTGTTGTTGCAAAGTGCCACCCCTTCTGTGACCAAATTAGATATTTTAGGTGTGAAGCAGTCGCATGACTGGGGATCACACTTTGTGCGATACTTAACGGCGACAGGTGCCATCTGAAGAGCCCCAATGGCGCCTGAGTTAAATATTTGAGAAAAGGTCAGTGTTTTTTAGCAGAGAGCTGGAGCTTATAAGCTGTCCTCCTGATATAACGGTGTCTGAAACTGTTTGGGATAAAGTTAAATTTACTAAAGGAAAACTTGCCATGGAGATTAGCCAGCATTTGAAAAAGTATGAGATACTAATAAGTGATTTCAGCAATGAGAAAATTATTTAATTTGACCCTAAAAACCATATAAAACCCAATATTTTTATTATTTAAAACAATCTTCTCATTGTCAAGAACTCAACACAATATTTCAACAAGATGAAGTGAAACAAGTGGTAAATTAACAAAAGTCACACTTAAAGTGCAAATTATTTGGTCGACATGGGAAGAATGACTTTATATTACTCTGCTTCAACTATCTGCAGACATAGCTCCAAACTATGAGATAAAACAAACTATAAATATAGGTCAACTGTGTTTGATCCATCAGAAGTATTATATTGAATTCAAGCGGCCGGAATTGGTCAAGATCAGAAAGAGAGAAGGGTAGATATTGTTTGTCATCTACAAGGATTAAATACATATTATTTAACATTAATGTTAACCAGGATTAAACAGTATGCAAGCAAGGATTATCGTCTTCTGTAACAAGGGTCGTCTCAAAAACCACAGAGGTATATCCATTAAATAGTATGGTACATTCTCATCAGCAGTACTATTTTCATTAGATTATATGAAGAACCACTTGCATTAATGAATTTATACATCCTTAAAGTGAGCCATTTGCAAAGCACTGCCAAAAATGAAACACACATAGATGATGTTGTTCAGATAAATACAGGGTAAAAAAATCTGCTGACAGGAAATTACATTCTCAGCAAGTAGCTTGAAGCTATATGCACAGAGATACACAGATAGATAATCAACACGTAAACAGGGCTACGATAACACACTTTAGACTCAGCTGCTTTTCTCCAGTCACACCACAGACATTCACAGTGTACCCAAGCTAAAATGAACCAACTGTTCAGAACAGACCCGTGCATGCAGAGAGCCCAAGGCAGGAACAGTTCAGTTTGGAATATCTGCACTGTTGCTGCGGGTGTCATATTTATGGTGGATGATGAGCAGGACCACTCCAAGGAAGAAGCAGATGGAACCCACAGTGATGTAGGCAATGCCTAAAAAGGGATTCTTCCCTCCCATCCAGGAGATGGTGCTCAGGATCATTCGCTTTCGACCATCAAAGCTGAGCACAGGGTAATCTAAGTAGATCAAGTTAAAGAAAGATGACTGAAGCTTTTGGGCTGTAAGGTAGCAAAAATGTACAATCCTCAGTGTACCCACAACAGTATAATGCAGAATAAATGATCATTAATAAAATAATGTCATTATTAATATATATCTTACTTATAAATATAAACATCTGAACTGTAAGTTTTTTAAAATATGTGGTTTATTATTATACTCTGGTGTGGATAATTGGAGAGTATAGCTATGATAACCCTCCAATTATTCTAATAAAAAGCACAACCAGCAGGAAACTACACTGGTTTTAACTCAACCCAGCAATCCAGGTTAATTGTTTGTCTATCAGTAAAAGGCTATGACACCCTTAATAAGGCAAAACTTTATTTACTGGTGGCAGCTAAGTGTTTAATCAAGTTTCATAACTAGATTGTTTTCCGGTGAAAGAAAGGATACTGTAGGTGATGTCCAAGGCATATCTGCCACTGGGAAGAGTTGGGGTGGTGTTTGGTTTCTTGTGGATGATGCGGTAGAGCTTCCTGAAGGTGGGGAGTGCGGCCGTGCGCATCCACACGATGAAGTCTTCGTTGATGAAGCCGTTGTTCTCGGGATCTGATTGGTCCAACTCGTAAACTGGCTTCCTCCAGTTTACTGGCTTAGCAGTGCCTGAAAAAGAGCAAAACAACACCAAGTGGATCAGCGAAACTTTGTTTACAAATCAGACGGGCGTTGCCAATTTTTCTAAAACTCACCCTGGAAAGCTGCAGTGAGGTTGCTGTTTCCTCCGGGGTTCCTGAACTTCACGTGCTTGTCTGTCCACCATGCAATGCCCTTCTTTGCAAGCACAACTTGATTTTTGGTGCCATTGGATTCAATATGGTATAGCTCCAAAGTGTCTGACACAGAGAAAATCAAGTACTTTCAGTAAATGCAGAAGAGACATGTTTACTTTCTGCAACATGAATGTATAGACTGCAGCTGTACAGAGCCTAAACACAGTTTCAGTGGCAAAGTTCTGTCCCATGACTCACCGTTGAACAGGCTGTTAGCTATGGCCCCACATGGCGCAATGGACTGTCCTTCACTAGTGCGGTAGGGTTCACATTCTTTACTGGGACTCTGTGGAAAAAGCGTGTTTGACCGCTGGAAGAGGCATTCTGTCAATCCTCTGTGTTAGAGCGATTAAAAGATCCTACCTTCAAAGCAGACAGATCACCATTCAACTGGCTGTCATCTCTGGACTTCACATAACGCCTGTGGTTCTGATAGAAGTTGGATAAGCCGTAGTACATGTAAACATTGCTCTGCAGAGGAGAAAGCACATTAGAGACAGAGCGTATCATTGAGAGCAAAGATGTTGAAACAGAGCAGTAACCTGTGGAGTTTCTGACCTTTTTAAACGTGAACAAGAACATAGGGGCCAAACCATTTCTTGGATCAATATGTGCAAGTAAGCAACCAATACCTCAGCAAAGAAAGCAAAATGAAGGACTTACTGCTCATGAACATGAACTTTTTTTTAAGTTCTTTATAATAACAGAAATCTAAGTTTAACTTAATTAAATCATGTTACCATATTATTAATATTGTTCAAATGAAATTTAAAAAGGAATTGGGCAACTTTTTATAAATAATTAAAAGCCTTCTGAAAGTACATAATAAAACAGCTTCTAATCAACTATTGAGCATTGGATTTAAAAATAGATCTTAATGGACAATCAGTGCCAGGAGGCCAGTCTTCTTTTACCCTTTTATAGCAGAGGAAGCACTCAGTATTGAACCTGAAGTCATCTATTATTCATTGTCTGTTTTCCTGTGCGTTGGTGCAGGGCCTAAGCTCACCTCAAACGGCTGCTCCAATGTGAAGTTCACAGTGCAGACGCACGGTGCCGTACTGTTCCAGCTGAAGTTCTTGGCACAGCTGTAGCATGGACTATCGATGTCCAAACCAGTGTAATCAATCTGAAAATGAAGAACCGATTAGCAAAAATAAACAGTAATCTGCATTTTGTGTCCGTACACTTTTAAAAGCCAGCTCATTCTGCGCACGAGTTAACCATGCAGCATCTTTGCTAAGGCATGCTTATTTCCTCACATTATAGGCTGTATTTACACAAATCCAACATGAAAGTCACTTTGTGGGGTTCTGCAATGTGCTGAACTGTTTTCACTAGGCACACCCTTCCTGCCTCCCATTGATTGTTTTCTGTTATTTTATCAAACCTATTAAAATGCACACCTTTTAAATAATAAAAAGAATAGCAGTGTAAAGGTTGTTACAAAGGATTTTTTAACCACTTTTATCAAGAAATTGGAGGTTAACTACCATATATTTTTGTTATTTGGATTTTTTAAAACAAATAAATGTTTTTCTTCTTCTCTTTTCTTTGGATAAATGACTTAAGTAAATTATTGAGATCTTCAGGTTAAAAAACCTAGTAAAAAAAAGGCCATTATGTTCAATTTAACTTTAACTGTTAACTTTTTTTTTTTAAACCGAACCACAGAAAACAATTTATTGAAAGGTATTCATAGTACCTAACACTGAACTTCATGAATACCTGAGTGTAAAGCGACAAGAACAAACTACTTACTCCCTTAAAATCATATTGATCCTGTCAGTCATACATCTGGCGCTTACATAATACTAATTATGATAACAATAATAATAAGTACACACATTTGAATTACATTACAGTGGTTTGATCGTTGTTCAGCCTTGTTATAAATACTAATTAATAAAGAAAAGAGTAGGGAAAAGGGAAAAGCTGACCAACTGAAATGTAGATAGCCATTACTGTCACTGTACCTCAAACTCTTTGATGTTGTTCGACGTTACATACAGGCCGATACCGATGGGGATGAAGATGAGACCGATAACGAAAAAGGCAGGCAGCACAGTCCCCGCTGTCAATATGGGCTGCCAGGCTGGTAATCTCTGCTGTTTAAAAGCAGTGTTGTCCGGTTTTTTACTTTTTGCTACACCTGGCCCGCCGTGAGTCGCAGAACCCGAGTGGTGACCGTCCTCTTCCTTAGCGTTGTAGCTTGACGCCATCATGGCTGCAATCGGCTTCGAGTAGAATAATCCACTTCAACTGACAGTTGACTGTTCCTCGTTAATCCCACACAACGGGGAAGGGGGGTAACTTTCGGGGAAACCGATAAAACCCTCCACGAAGAGAAATTTGCCTTCACTCTAATGCAAATATCGACTCAATAATGTCGGGTTCATCTGTTTTGTTGGTCTCAACAGGGAACAAGAAGGCGGAAGTCCCAGAGCGAATGGTGTGATGACACGTCAGAGTTACGTCACGCAGATGATAAACCGCCCCTCACGTTGACAGCCCTGCAGAAGCATCCATTGGCACCTGTCAGTAATCCTGTTTACTGATGGTTTTTACAAGTTAGAACTCAAGTACGCCTGAAAACAAAAATAAGACTATTCTAAATTTATAGTGTTGATATTATCCTACATTATTTTTAGTCTTTGAGTCATTAAATTCCACAACAATCTACTCTTCAGTTTAATCTAAATTACATGGAGTTTGCGGCATCAAACCTCTTATAACATCTTATCAGGCAAATTTATATTTTTAGCTCTTTGTTAGAAGTGTAAAGATTCAGACTTTAATTCACTTTAATTCTAGACACTTAAAAAGGTCATTTTTGTTTCATGACAGCCTTCTGCCACAAGGACAAAACATATTTTCTTAAATTTTTGTGAGAGACTTACCATGACCCATCCTAAATCTATACCAAAGTCATCTAGGTCATCTCTGGAGAGACCTAAAACTGTCTTTAGTTTAATCATCTATAGCAGTGTTTTTCAACCACTGTGCCTCGGTACATTAGTGTGCCGCGAGTGATGGTCAGGTGTGCCGTAGAAAATCATCCTATTTCACCTAATTGGTCTAAAAAGACTTTTTGATAAGAAATTAATTATCTGCAAATCATTTTTGAGTGTCTGTGCCGTTCTAGTGACTGGTGGAGTAATCATGTAATAATTCTTTATGACTAGATTTTGTATATAATTTTATATATTGAAGTGTACATGTTAAGTGCAATTTGAAAGAAGAAATATAAAATATGAGAAAAATACATTTTTGTTTATTTGATTCCTATTCAAGACACTTAAGATCAAATAAGAATAAAATAAGTATAACTATAGTATTACTATAGGTGGCTACAGATTTGTTGAACATTTTTGGTTGGTGGTGTGCCTCGTGATTTTTTCAATGAAAAAATGTACCTTGGCTCAAAAAAGGTTGAAAAACACTGATCTATAGCAACAACAATGCTTTATTAAAGGACTGGCTAAAATAGAATTTTTTCAATGAAATCTTGCAATAGATTTAAATACTTTTAGCATGGTCCATCTTTTTTCTGACAGTTAAAAAACTGAGGCTGACATCTAGTTAATCTCCCACCCATTATGTATTGTAGAGTTTATGTGCCCTGCCAGATGATTCCCAGTGGACTTCACCGTTATAAAAGCATTACTAAGAGGCAAAAAAATATAAAATATTCACTTACTGTAGAAGTGCCCCCATTAATCACCCCTGCCTCAGTCATTGCAACATAATTTGTTTCTTTCTTTCTTCTGAACACAAAGAAGTCACTCAGCGATTTCATATCACATTTAATGAAAAGTACAAAGTCTGTCCAACCAAAGAATAATTTACAAAAATAAACATGTCCCTACATCTAGGTGCCATAACAAAACATATTGGCTTTATGTGTGAGACAACCATTAAAAGCAAAAGAGGTTAATAGCAGTGCAGACACATGAAATCCAAATTCTCATCACAATACACTCTGTAAAACAAAAATATGTCTCCCCCTAAATAGAAGAAATGCATAAGATAAAAACAAGTTTAAAAAAACTTTACAAAAATAAAAATGAATGGCTTATCTAATTACAAAAAAATATGCCTACGCCTCTAATACTTTCTTACTTTCTTGTGCATTGGCATACAACTTTGTATTACTCCTTGTGAAGCAACATAAACCAAATATTTAAGGGAGTGTTTAAACTATTATGTCAATCAGACTTTTCCTCCATTTTGTAATGTATTACTATTCACTGTGGATTTCTTGACCTCTATCCTCATAGATTGACTTTCAGATCGAGACTCTAGCTTCAGTCCACTCGTTATCCCCAGAGATCCCAGTGCAGCCTTTCCCGTCTTAAGGCTCTTGGACATGGGGATACGAGTCAGCCCTGCACGAGGTGTCTGGACATCATGCCCGACCTATATGATAAAAGAGAAAGAATGGAATTAGTCAGGAAAGAGGATGAAAATAGAGGAGTAGCAAAAGGACATAAACACTTTAAAAAGGAAAATTAAATTAAAAAGGGAATTCTAATGTTCAAAATGTTGTAATTTATCGTTTTTTTTTTATGTGCCTGAATGAAACTTGTACATATTTATTCACTCTACCCTTCATCCTGATGAGGTTTCAGTTTTCTGATGCTGGTGCAAGTCCGTTTTGTGTCAGCCAGAGGGCCCTGAGCCCTGCATGCCCTATTCGAGAATCTAGATACTGTGTCACAACTATAGATTACAGAATTACTGCTGGCAGAGTGACAAAATGCCACATCATTAGCTCTGCTTCTCTGAGGCCTGCCCATAGGGTTGTTTCTGTCACGCTATTCATCTCATCCACACAAAACATATTATTAAGGGGCCACCGAAATACCAACACACTGATCCGTCCCAGCTATTTTCGATTAAACTCATTGTGAACTGCTTACTGAAACGTTAAATACAACTGAAACAACAGTCCTATTGAGTGGTACTGATAACCATTTTTCCAGTAAATCAAGATAAGAAAGTCAAATATTAGAGTCAACTTAAGAAATGTTTGGTAACTTTTGGTAAAATAGACCACAAATTGCTACAGCTCTCAATGCATTGAAGTGGAAGGATCCATTTCCAACTCAGAAATGTAAAAAAATTAAATTAAGAAGATTAACCGAACAACTGAACTTACCGGGCTTTGGGTAGGTCTAGACGTGGTGGAAGTAACCGGTGATATCATAATACTGCTCATCACTTTACTCTGTGTGCTCCTGGTGGTAGTGGTGGTAATCTGGCGTGGCGAGCGTAAGACCGTTCCTGTTGATAGGGTCATTTCTTTGCTCTCCGTTACAGTTGCCACTGGCCTGACAACCATCTTTGGGGTCATGCTGTTCCCTAAGTGAATATGGATCTTGTTATCATCTGTAGTTGTGATGACGCTGGCATTGTTGAGGCCCTTCCGAACAGGCACTGGGACCATCTGCTTCTCGGGGGTAACCCGGAACACGGCCCGGCCCATGGTCATCTCCTGGGGCTCCGGAGAGGAGGACGCTGCAGGTACTAAGGCAGTGCTCACTGTCATAATAGAAACTGGGGAAAGTGGCCTGCCTGAGGAAGAGGATCGGCTGCTTTCTGGAGACTTCGCTCTAGAAGTAGCCGTGATGGTGACCGGAGACTTTGCTCTTTCGGGACCCTGAGGTCGAGCAGGGGACTTTCTGTGGTGGGTCGAAGAAGTGCAGGTGGGAATGATTGTGATTCTGGATTTAGGCTGAGATGGGTTTGGGCTAAGGGGAACTGAGCTGGAGAAAACATCCTCAGTAGTTGGGCTGCTGATCTCAAGAGTAGCGATGTTGTTTTGGTGATCTGGTGTTACTCGGATGTGCAAAGGCTGCCCTTGCTTTTGAGGCACCGTCAGTTCCGAGGACAAATTACCACCATTGATATGCTGAGGTTTGTCCAGGTTAGTTTCTTGAGGAGTGTTGTCCTTTCTCCTGATCCAGGGAATCCAAGATTTCTTTATTCCCAAGTCACTGCTAGATGAAGAGCAACGTTCAACGGCGCTACTTTTTTCACCCGGCTTCTTCAGGCATTTCTGTCGGATGTTGGTCATTATGTGATTCTCTTCTTGAACAGACTTCCTGATAAACACAGCTGGAGTGTCCTCCTCTGCCGGTCCAGTGTATGATGCCTCTGTTTGCACTGCTGTGGATGTCACAGCTATGTCGACCATACGTCTCCCATTAAGGCTGGGCCGTAAGGCTCGACTATGACGCTTGGCTTGCTCTAGCTCTTTGGTGAGATGGAAAACCTCAGTGCCCATGTTCTTGGCTCTCTCTTCCTCTTCCAAGAATCTCTGCTGTAGGACCGAGTAGTCCACTTGGAGCTGAGAGAGCTGGTCTTCTTTGTGCATCAGCTCATGGATCTTCTCCTTGAGAGCGACCACATCAGCTTGTAGCTCTCTGGTTTTGGTTTCCTCTCTCTGGCATCGCTCTCGAAGGTCTTCTTCCCGGCTTTCCTCTTCTCCTTTCTCAATGGCTTTGTTGTGTGCTATCTGATTCTTCATTTCCTCCACCTGCTGCGAAAGAACATTTGCTTTGTCCTGTTCAGTCACAAACCTTTTCTCCAGCATATCGTACTGATCTTCTGTCTTGATCAAATCCCCCTCCACTACTTCAAGTTGTTTGAGCCGGTTTTTCAATCGCTCGATTTCAAATGTTAGCTCTTTAACTTTGTTGTCTTCTCTCTTAATGGGGTCAGACGTTCTTCCCAGATCACATATCATGGAATTCCTCACAGATAGCTTTTCCCCTTGCTCAAATCCATCAAGCCTCTTTCTCATTTGGCTTATCTTAGTATTAAGATCCTTGGTTTTGTCCATTTCATAGGCCAGTTTAGCACTGAGCTCCCCCTTTTCAGTGGTTAAGGACTCTACTTTGGATTCCATCTCTGATTTGAATTTCAGTAGTTTTTTGCTTTCCTCTATCAATTTTTCAGTCACCTCCATAACCTTAGCCTGCTCGAGTTTAACCGTCTTACTGAAATCATCTTTTTTCTTCTCGTCAGACTTCACGGTTTCCATCAGGGCCTTTCTCTCATCCATTAAAGCAACGGTCAATGATTTAAGCTTACTCAGGTCATCCTTGAGGCTGAGCTCAGTCTTTTCTAGCTTCACTTCAGAGGACTCAAGCTCTTTCATACGGATCTTGAGTGCTATAATTTCATCTGAAAGCTCTTTGGTCATGCCCCTCTCTCTTTCTAGAGCATTGTATAACTGTGCACACTCAGCTTTGCTTATGCTGAATGCTTCTTCAAGCTTTTCCAAGTCCACCATTCTTTTTTGGACTTTCTCTACTTCCAGCTTGAGGTCTTTACTCTTACTATTTTCCTCCTCCAGTCTCTTTCTCAGCTCCTTGCATTGGTGTTCTGTTTTGGTAATCTCTTCATCCTTTCCTTCCATCTCAAGAACCCGTTTCCGCAAGTTCTCCAACTCAGCCAGAAGGTTGGAGTTGCCACGCTCCCCTTTACTGATCTGTTCTCTTAACTCCTGCAGTTCCTCCTCAGATTTCCTCAAGGCCCTGTTGCTTTCTTCTAGTTCCTCCATTTTGTGTGTCAACCCCAAAAGTTTGGCATTAAGTTGGCGATTGTGGAGCTCCTGTGTGGCTTGCTTGGCGCACATCTCTTCATGTTGTTGGGTAAGCTTAGTAGATTTCTCCTTAAGCTCAGCCTCCAGACTCTGCACCCTGTGGCCATCTTCCTGAGCCCGCTCCCTGGCTTCCTTCAGAGCTTGTTCCCGCTGCTGGAGCTGCTGGCTGAGCTCCTGGACCCGCTGACTCTGTTGGTCCATTTGTTCCAGGTTCTGCTGGCGTTCATTGACCAACATCAGAGCGAAAGACTTCAGCTTCACCAGCTCCTCTTGCACTTTGGCCAGACGTTTGGAGTGCTCCTTCTCTTTTCTCACCTGGTAAGCTTTCTCGTTCTCAAGCAACCTCTTCAGTCTGAAAGTGTAAGCAAAGCAAAGAGGCAGACCATTATTATTATTTTTTTGGTGCGTTTTTTACTTTCAAGATTTTCTGTTTTATCCTCGATAACACTCAGCAGTCTGTTTTTTAAACTCTATGAAGTAAAGCTTCACATGCTATCAAAAAATAAAATAAAATTCAATGTTGTATATTCCTGTTTTGAAGTAATTTCTAATTCTGCAAAGAAACCACAGTTAGGACAACTAAATACTTAAGATTACACATACTGAAATAACTGGATGATAGAATATCTCAAATCTGCCACACAGACGTCCAGACTCTTGCTATTTACCCCCCGTGCAGATGTGATAGAAACTCAGAGCTTTACTAACTCCCTCTCACCAAGTGGTCTTTTCTCTTAGCTTCTTTTCATGCTGCTCATGCCCACTCTACCCAGGATCCAATGAAATGCATGCAAAACAGATTGCATGCGAGTTTGTATCCTTGTTGCGCACTCCCAGGGAAATTACACTACAGTATTCAAAATAAATATTTTTGCATTGCAAAACAAACCAAATTAGAACAGTCAGCAACTAAACAAGGAAGACTGTGCCCTTCTGACAGCCACTAAATACTCAAAATGAATCAGGTGCAGAACTTAAATCGTCACAACCCTTCAGTTCATGAGGAGTGGTGGTGTAGTGGTTAGCATGGTGGTTAGCATAGCTGCCTTCCAAGCAGTTGACCTGGGTTCGATTCCCGGCCAAAACAGCTCCTCCCTACCCTGTAAGTCGCTTTGGATAAAAGCGTCTGCCAAGTGCATGAACATGAACATGAACATTCAAAACTTACCCACAAAAGATGATTTACAAGCAACATGTACACAAAGTTAAACATTCAAAATACATTGAGAGTGAAAAAGTACCAGAGTCTTGTTTCCCACAGATCCTGAACCCTCTCGTTCCAAGCATGTTGTCAGGACAAGAAAAGCTGGATAAATGCAGTATAGTGCAGTCAGAGCACCCGTGGTGAGAGATGTCATGTCATCTATATGGGATACTAATGTGTATGAGAGAGTGCTGCTCTGTTTTGGACAGTCAGAAAGGGGTGGAACCTTCTCCATAGAGGGAGTGTTTTGCAACTCAAAACTTAGCAACTGTAAGCTTGATTCACACTTTACGAAACAGCTGAAAAGAGCGACTAAATATTAACATTTTTCAGTCCATGTTTGGTTAAAGTTTTATCTCCAAGAGGAAAGATTTTGCTCCTGAAAGTGGAAAGATGTGCCAGGGCAGGGGAGGGAGAAAGATGTGTGCTGCCGTTTCACTTGAGGCAAAACTTGACTGCAAAGAATATATGATGAGGAAACCAGATATGGATGAGTTGAACGTCTCCCTTGAGGCAGATGAAATCTGGGAGGATAGGACCAATAAGTTCAAGAAGCTTTATGTCAAGATAAGGACTGTACTGGAAATAAATCTTTTTTTTTTTAACTGCTTGAACCTCACAGATTTGTATTACTGGAACTTTTTATTGCCAATGAGGAATAGTATACCTTTTCCGTTCAGTGTACTTTATGATATGCACGCTTATGTAGTCAGATGTTATGTACACTAAAGAAACAATGTCTCTGAAATTACTTTCATGCAAAGGTCATCTGCATGATGTCAGTGGTCTAACACTGATGGACAAACCATATGATAAAAATAATTCACTGTTGCTATGAAAGATGTAGCTGCTGTCTGCAATGAATCAAGTCCTGAATAGCAAAAAATATTCAGTACATTACACAAGTTAATCTTAGTCACTTCTAATTTTTCTCAACTTTATCCAATTCTTGGATGACCATACATGAAAAGAAATTTCCTAAGCAGATATACAGGTGTGATGCACTAGCCAAAGTCCATGAGGGGCTTTTTTTCATCATGGGAACAACATTTCATCCCATGTTTCCTGGGGTATTTGCTCATCGCAGCCTCACTGTAACCAACACTGCCAAAAAACACAAGTCCCAACCTCTCCTGACAGAGAAAAAGCATTAGACATCAGGCTTAAAGCACTCCACTGCAAATGCTAACATGGTGTTAAAAGAGGGGAATCGAAGGCCATGTTGTCTTCAGACGAGTTGAAGCAGCTTTTTCGTGATGTTGAAAGACACATTAATGATTTGGTATTTTGGGATCTGTTGCTGGTCAGGATGTTTGATTGCGTGACTTTGAGACTCCCCTCAGGAGTGGTTGTGTCTTCGGACCGTCCCCACACATTCCTCCATGCCACTTAAAAATGTCAACTTCTCGACATGTAAATTGCCCTGTTGTCTGAGAAGGTGTTAATGGCTGATGGTTGCCAGCCGTCAGCAGCTGCCTCAGTGCCAGGGCGCTGCATTCCGACAGATGTTTGGCACAAGACCTTTCACTTTTCTCTCTTCACGCTCAGATGGCTGGATGAGATCAAATCTCTAAGTAAGGGACGATGCAGACTTCAGAGGGAGAAAAGGTCAACATGGACAGAAGAGAGAAACTATTTGTGCTCCTGTCATACACTTTTTTAATTCTGTTTTTCCACCATATGTAATCTACAAAAGCTCTGGAATTAAATCCCAAATGTTGTCATACACATAGTCCTAAAAAGAATAAATGAAAACAACATACAAGGTTTTAACCACAAGTAGCCAACATTAGTTGAAGGCACTTGAGATATCGCAGCCAACCTCCTGAGGCTACAGTAATCTTTAAACCCAATTTGGGTTTACAAAACTTTTCCTCACACTATATAACGCCAAAAACAAATCATTCCCTGATAGCTTTAGCCTTATGTTGTCACGGTGTATACTTACATAACAGGTCCTGTATATGTCTGCTACTTCCTGAATTCTAAACCACACAAAAAATGCACGTTTGCCTTTGAATCAAATGGAAAAACTAAGCTTAACTGGTGCAGTCAGATTTTAATTTCTCTGTTCTCATTTATGTATGCATGCAGGCTTCTAACTTTTGGAATAAAGTCAGCAGACTTTTGGTCAGTCTGAATTCTCTGTATCACCTAATGTGTTCAGGAATTTGTTGATGTGGCTCTCCACATGATCGGTCCTGCTTATTTACTTTAAAATGTGGAAGCTGATTCCTACAGCAGAGAACTGGCTCTGCCATTTGCCTGCAAAACATTATTATTTTTGCAGTTTGGCAAACCTATGAATGTACATACACAAAGCAAAGCTCTAATGAACTTTAACTGATCTCCATCTCCCAGAGTAACTCTGGGAGTTTGAACATTTATGTGCTCCAAAAACATCAATAAACTCTTTCACATATGAGTACTCTTAATTAGTAGGGCCTCCTTCCTCTTGGCAAATGAACACTCTCACAGGCAAACTCGTTTGTGAGGCCCTCCTAACACATGTGAGTTAACCCCGCTCCCACTCACTAATTTTCTCCCCTTGACCAAGAGTTCAGGTCACCACTTCAGCATTGACGTCACTTCACAGGTGATGTCATGAGCGAGTTGTTCCCCTGAGAAGCCCCTTATTCATTCATTTGTCTTTCCTCCATCCAGTGACTCTTGCCCTACCTGAACCTGAAGGCTCTCTTTCCATCATAAACAAGCCCATCAAAGGGTTTTTAGTTCAGTAGCCAACACCTCTCAGCTGTCACACATTTTCAGATGTTGAGGTAATCATTCACTGCTCTCCATCCCTAAGTTTTCCTGTCTCTAATAGTTAATCCCACTGGCTTGAAAATAAACAGTTTGACTAATTTATGTTTTCACTTTCCCTGTTTCCTTTTTTTATTTGTTTCTCCTGTTTGTTCAGCCTGTCTGTCTGGCCTGATAACTCTGCACAATTGAAAGAGTTGCTATTTCCACTAATAAAAAAACCTGAAATATTCATCTTTAACTGAATGTTACATTTCTTTTTTCTCCAATGACATATGCTTCACAATCGTAACAACAATATAGCTCTTTATGAACAGATGCAGATAGTCTAATGAACATTTGGACAGTCGTGATCAGTCTTTGCATGCACAGGCTTTGTTGCAGAAATTTAATGTCCCAGCTGCCACACCTTAAATTTGCCTACCTTTCTCTCTCCTGCTCCAGCAGGTTGGTGAAGTCGTCGCTTTTGTTCATGTAGTCTACATGTTTGCGTTTCTCTGTGTCCAGCTCGTAGACGGTGCGACGGTGGCACTTCTCAGCGAGCAGCAGCTGACCCAGCATCCTCCTGTATGTGTCCCTGTGCTTCTCCTGCAGGCGCTCCAGCTAAAGAACACAGAATCAATTTGTTTTGGTGTAATTTATTTTGTTTAGAAGGCAGTGAGTCCTATAAAACAATTGTTATGATCTTAAAGGATTTCATTCTTAACAATGCTGGTATCACCATAACTAAAGGCCTACTGACCTCAGCCATCGGCTTTTGGTAGACACTGTGGTTATGCGTCTTGGTGCCGGTGATGAATCCATCTCTCTGCAGTGCCTTGAGAGCTGAGCCAGGGACGGCGGAGCCATACTGTGATTCAAGAGCCTCTGGAGAAGTCTGCTGGGACTTCAGCATGAAGATAACATCCTCCCTGGCCTGAAGTCAGGCACATATACATTTTATACAAATTATACTTCGTAGCATGGCTTGAGGAGTGACATGGAAATCTAAGAAACTAAGCATTAGGAAGGGTTTCAACATTTGTATGTGTAATGAATGTTGGATTCACCTTATTTGTGTAAATATATCTCAAAACAATCCATTTCAAAGTGTGTAATTCTTAACAAGTTAAAGGTACAGTTGTGCATTTCATCCAACGTGTTGAACTGAAATGTTTGACCACAAGATGGAGCTATTGTTTTGCCTTTAACCATTCAAAAGCACCTCAGGCTTTACTAACAGTGCAAGGATGTTATCTTCAACATCATTGTACTGGCTTCTTGAACTATTACCACAAAAGAAAAATGAATAGAACACCAAAGCCTACCTGAACTTCTCCTTCCATGATACCCAGTAGCTTCAGCAGATCCTCTTTGGACAGATCCATATTGTTCACTCTTTTTTCCGTAGTCTCATTTGAATCCATCAGCAGCTTCTCTTTGTTGGAGATCACCGCCACCTCTTCCCCACCTTCTCTCTGTTGAACCTTGGCCTTCAGGCTCTTCACAGGCAGACCCATGTCCTGGTCCTGACTGATGTCACGGTCACCTTGTTGGACCCCGATCACGCTATCCACCGGGCTTTCCGCCCCACTGTTTTTTGATCTCATCTTACCTGGAACTAGGTGAGAAAAAAATGTTTACTCTTTTGTTTTTTTCATTATGACATATTCTTATTTCACCAGTTCATTTTTCTGCCTAAGATATCCATCTATGACCTCATTTCTATTTGAAAAAAATCTCCATTTCTCTCCCACATTTCACTGTGGCATGGTCACAATTTACTGTCAGTTTAATAGCTCTGACCATGACTATCTCCTGTACCATAAGTCATCCAATGACGTGCACACCTCATAAACCACAAACATATTGTGTATATTCTGAATAGATGCCTTTGTCCTGTTGGAACATTCCTAACCTGAAAAAAATATTTCATAGCTGCTCTGCTCTGTGTGTGTTCTGTGTGGGGGTGTGCAATTTTGCATTCCTGATGCATCGCTTTCACAGTAGTTGTGTATTCCATGCTCAGTGTTGGTGGTCTAAAAGCACATTTGTCATGCTTTTGATTTTTCCAGCTCTCTGCTGATTTAGATCAATCCAAATCCTGAAAATAATCAGTTGACAATTGGCTAATAAATCATATTTTCTGCACAAATGTCTTACAACCACAAACTCCTTCCAGGGAGTAGTTAGCGCCAACCCTGATTTGCCTATTTGATCTCAAATATGAATCAGTTTAGCTATTTTTAGCAGCCAGCGATTTTGATTCATTCAAATAGTTTGCAGTGTGTTTATTTGCCGTTTCTCAAACCCTTCAAGCTGTATTTCCTCAGATTTTGTGTTAAATTTTCAATGTTAATTGTTGTGTCGTTGCTTCTTTTTACAAATAATTGTAGCGGGATAACCAGCTTTAAGTACTGGACTTATTACATTGTAAATGTAGTTTGCAATTTCTATTATGAATTTCGATGGTGGATCACATTTCGAAAATAACTAAATATATCCATTTAGCGCTCCCTTTGATTTCCTTTAATGTCCTATGTGTAAACAACACTACTTAACACTCTCACTTTAAAATGAGTTTATATTTATCCTCAAAATGGAACGTTGGTGGGAAAAAGTAATCATGTTCAGTTGTTTATGTGATTTTTTATGTTAAATTAGATTCACTGAATATCAAGGTTGCATCATTATGTAATCTTGAAGTCTTCTTTCACACAAATAGGCTGACACATTTAGTTTGTATTACAGATCAGATTAACTGGCTTTTAAAAAAAAAAAAGGATGAGACTCGGGCGAATGAGTATTCAGGATAAATGTGTGCTGTAAATGTCTTGCAGTGCTTGTGTACTCTCAGATTTATTGAAGCAGCTTTGATAAACAGAAAATGTGCTAATTCATGAGGATTTCAGATACGACATCAATATCTCTTCTAGATTACAAACAGAAAAACAATCCCAACCCCCAAATTCCCCGCTGTAGGACTCTGATGATGTCATAGCATCCTGATCTCTAAATCATGTGTTGAAACGCCCTACATGAGCCTGCCAGGCTCTCATGATTCCTCTCTGAGCACATGGCTGCATGCATTAGCATTTGGTTCTGAGCATAGCTGTTATCTGTGTGAAATATTCATATCCATCCAAATCAATTCACATCACGATCAAACAATAAAATGAAGATTAGCTTCCCGTCAAGAGGCTTGAAAGTGGGTTTTTGGTTAACAAGGAGAAAAATGTTTATCTTCCTCTGTAACAGTGGACAGGAAAGTCAAGAGTGCACTGAAGTCTAATGATGCCTGAAGTCTCTTTGAATTCCATCTATTTCCAAGGAAAACACACATGCACAATGCTGACAATACTACAAGATAACAGTGTCTGCACCCGCAAGTTCAAAAAGAGAAATACCTGACACACCAACACATTAAGTCTCCCCTTTATCTTTATTTTTGGAGTTCATCGAGTCCACACTGGCCTGAATGAGATGTGGTTCATCACTAAAGATTAATTGCAGTGCCCTGAGTTCTGTCCATAACTATTAGTTTCAGCTGTTGGCTCTCTATCACGGGGTCCAGTGCTGTAGTACACAAGTTTACACAAAGTGTTCATGGGTCCATTCAAACAGTGCCAGGGAGTTTGAATGATGCCCAGAGGTGGAGGGCATAAAAACAGCCACCAAAGGGTCATCAGAGTGATGAAACACAAAAGCATGTGTTAATGAATACTCTGAATGACTTGGGCAGAGTTCCTGAGCACAAGCACCAAAATGGTTGACGCTGAGTTAGGAACTTGACGGTTTATTTTTAAATGTTGGGCTGATGCCATTAAGGTCCAGAGGAGCTACTGTAACGGCCAGCTTCACATTGCAGGGTCACTCTCGTTCAGCAGAGCAAGCGAGCAAATGAGTTTGTGCTAGCTAACTCCAGTAACAGGAAAATGTTAAATTGTCTAATGAAAACGTGTACAGAAATACTACAAGTCAGAAGTATTTCTATTTGACAAATTAAATCAGGACACAAGAACTGCCACTAATCTAGTTTGATAGTACAGGTTATAGCACCCATTCCAGTACTGTTGCATGAATTATTGAGTGGGAATGGACTAATTAAAGTGTATGTGTATGACATAATGCACCTAAATAACACAACTGAATATATCCTTACTAACAATACTAAGATGACAATTAATACAATCATTGGCATCCAAAATGCCGACTTAAGCAGGTCAGATCCAATTTGGTCTCCAGTGCCTGTATGAGATTTAAATCATGTTCTCTAAATAGTCACAAACTTTGTCTGAAGGTTAAAAGGGAGCATGAGAAAAAGCATCACTCAAAAGCTTTTAAAGAAAACAATTCAGCTTTGATAATTGATCGTTTCGTTTACGTCCAGTTTGTTGTGGCCAAATAGCATACATTTCTTTGTCTGTTTAGATTTGTTTAGCTCTCCCAATATTTATTTTGTCGTTTTTCAAAAAGTTAACAAAGAAAAGCTTGACATTCCACATAAATGATATGATCTTTAGAAAAAAATATCACATTACTCATTTAATGAGAAGAGAATTATCAACACAGATTGATATATTTCCATTTTGTAAACCTGGCTGACGCCTGATTTTATTTTTAAAATACTTCCGTAATCTGATCTGTATGCAGTTCTTTGTCATCAGTGTGATGTGTTCGCTGGCTGAGCCACCTTGACTGATCGCTGCAGTTTTGATTGTCATCAATTCTCTTGAAACAAATGGGGATTCCTGAGCCACATGCCCTGCATTCCAGTCTGGCATGCAGCAGTCCCAGTTGTCTTTATGGAATATAAAGGAGAGCTAGCGGATAATCAGTTTTAGTTCTGTGGTCTACCTCTACCATCATGATGCTCACACAATTCCTGGCATCTAAATCACCAACACAGCTGGCATACATTGCCAGTCTAGATATTAAAAAGATAGTATAAGACCCAGCAGGACACATGTAAAGTCTAAATTTAAAATGGAACCCCAAAACTTTCCCAAGGTTTGTCCCATTCCAGCTGTCACATACATGAGTATTTATAGGCCCAAGCACGTGCATTCAATCCACAGTTTAAAAATGGTGCTGTACAATTTTGGCGCAGATCAGCGCTGATGACTTTCATCTATGGCCTTTTATCTCGGTCTATTTTTGCATCTACTTCCAGTAGCTTCTTCTTGAATTCAACCTTATCTTAAATTGGAGAGTTCAATCAACACACCATGCTGTAAAACTCTCCGGCATGGGTTGTTATTTGGTTTTACATTGTCTTTTTGATATTATTTTATATTACAACGCCACACAGGTTTTAGCTTTTCATCCTTTTTGTTTTTTGAAATGTCTATACTTTGTGGAACACTTGAGGATTTGGCCATTCATTGAATTGAATCTGGTTCCCAATAAAGTTTGGAATATGACAGAAGTAGTTATAAAAAGAAATCTCAACAAATGTTTTTGTCATGTTTAAGATGCCACAAGCACAACATCCAAAATATCACAAAAATCTCAAGAGAAGCAGTTTTGCAAGGCTGGAAAGTTTTATCAGCAGAAATTCCTTTTTTTTCAGGAACGTTTTGCTGCATCCCTACACGTATTACTTCTGAGTAAGTCTTCTCAGGGTCTCTGTGGTGTTCAATTCCGTCAGAATCTTCAAGAATCTATGTATTTGTAAAAGATCAGTTACTTTGGTAATTCCCCAAAATGTCCATTAAAGCAAGACTTGTGGATGTGATTAAATTTGGAGTCATGAGCACGTCAGTGCACAGTCTAACCTGGAACAACCAGATTTAAAAGGTAACTTGATCCATAAAACAGATACTATTAAAAAGACACACTTTTTTAAGTGATGTATATTTATTCTCGAACTGTCATTCTATATTGTTGTTAAGATTATTATGTGTTAATCTGTGATACTGTGTGGAGCGAAAAGAGAAAGATGGCAACAGAAGTCAAAGTCTGGCATGCAGCCAAATTCATTAGTCAAGGACAAGGGACATGACCATAGCTGTAAAATATTACAACATGTTTCTGGGGAAATGGTTTATTTACTTTCCGGGTTTACCATGTATGTTTACATCACAAACCCAACGTGACCAAACAAAGAGTGGAAACTGCTCTCTGCATGTGAGCCTCTCACCATTTATGCTGCCAGAGAGCACTGCTGAAATCTGGTGCGCTCGTGAAACCCTCTTTGTCCTGCAAAGAAAAGCACACCAGTTCGCCAAGATATGAGAATTTCAATAAAAATGCCGCTGTGGATAAAAGTGGAAGCCACAAGTCAATCCATCTGTTATTGAAAGAACCGGGAGCATGCAAGGGAGCGGAGCTAAAGTCTGTTCCTGGACATCCAGTAGCCTCTAAAGGTCAGCTGTTAACAGACTTATATTTTACCAAAAAAAGTATGACCTGATATCAACCAGTAGCCTCAAAAGAAACACATAAATCCCATCAAATTGAGCTGTCACAGAGACCCGATGGCCAAAACCTGCAGCATTTACAGCTGGTCCTCCTGTAATTTAGGCTTCTATTAATACCTCATAGTGACATAAAACTCAAACTGACGCTGACATGCCCTGCTGCAGCAAAATGTCAGCATTGGTAGTGA